AGGAGAATCGCCTGAACCCAGGAGGCGGAGGTTGCGGTGAGCCGAGATCGCGCCATTGCCCTCCAGCCTGGGTGACAAGAGCAAAACTCCGTCTCAAAAAGAAAGGACAGTCTTCTGAACTTCTGCGTCCTTTCCGCTGTGTGTGGGTTCCCTCTCGTGTCTGCTGCTTGTACAGGGGTCACAGGTTGGCTTTGGTTTCGAGGTGGGATCTCAGTCTGTCACCCAGGCGGGAGTACAGTGGTGCCATCACTGCCCACTGCAGCCTCGGCCTCCCAGAGGGCTGGGATTGTAGGCGTGAGCCACTGTGCCCAGCCCCAGGTTGGTTTCTGAGATCGTTTTGAGGGGCAGGCTCTCTGGTCCCCACACCCAGAAGCAGGCGTGGGATGGGGGTGTCCATTCTCCCTGTGGTCACTCACATCCAAATCGGGGCCTGTTTCTCTGAGTTGTTACTTACATCTATGTGCCACGCCTACTCGGGGTAAACTCTGCCCTCCAGGGAAACCCCAGGGCCCCCGGGGAGCAGGAGCAGGTTTCGAGGGAGTTTCCCTGGTTCTGGGGGAGGGAGATGCCTGTCTTCCCCGCCCAGCCTCGTTGCCTGCCTGAGGACACATCTGGCCACTTTTGGGACTCGGGGACCCCCACTCTTGGGTGGTGTGTGGTTCCACTCGTTCTCTTTTCAGCCTCAGGGGTGTCTGCTCAGGGGTAGGCCACGGGGCCCTGCTTTCCTGCCCGCCATGCCCAGACATTAGGGGCAGATGGAGGAGGGCTCCCGCAGGATCTCCTCAGCCGTCCAACAGGAAAGGGCTCTGCACTGCCCCAGACACGTCTTCTCCCCACTGCTGCCCTCCCAGAATGCTGGGTGCCCGTGCCACGGTCCCTGAGCAGGGAAACAAAGCATGAGCATGGACCCGGTGCAGCCGCAGCGCAGGGCTGGGCCTCTCACCTCGTCCCACAGCTTGAACTCGGGCGACGTGGGTGCTCTGCTGGTGGCACGTGCCTGTGATCCCACACTTCCGGGGAGGGCAGGGTGGGAGGATCGCTTGACGCCAGGAGTTTGAGGCTAGCCTGGGCAATGTAGTGAGACCCCACCTACAAAAAACTTCAAAAAAGTCACCAGGCACGGTGGCTCATGGCTGTAATCCCGGCACTTGGGGAGTCCGAGGCAGACGGATCACCTGAGGTCTGGGGTTTGAGACCAGCCTGGCCAACACGTATGAAACTCCCCCTCTGCTAAAAATACAAAAATTAGCCGGGCGTGGTGGCAGGTGCCTGTAGTCGCAGCTACGTGGGGGGCTGAGGTGGGAAAATCTCTGAACCCAGGAAGCGGGTGTGGCAGTGAGCCAAGATCACAGCACTCCAGCCTGAGCGACAGCACGAGACCCTGTCTCAAAATAATAATGATAATTTTTTGAATGCTGCCCTACCCAAGGAAAGCCTACCCCCAAATTCAAATCTCTGATCTCCCCCCTGCACAACCCCCAGGGGACTGGGAACGGGTCTTGGGAGCATCGCAGGCCACAGGGGCCAGACCCCAGGCAGGGCAGTGGGACAGGCTCACGTCGGCATCCTTCAAATTTTAATAGTAATGAGAAAGAGACGGGGTGAGCCACAGGCCTGGGGGACATAGTGACCCCGTATCTGGCGGCCGCCTTCCACGCCCCAGTGAACGGAGCCTGCATGAGCAGCGGGGGTAGTGGCTGTTGACGCGTTGATTGGCTCTTAGACGTGGTCGTGGGCCGTGGTGGTGGTTGCTGTTTGTTTGCTGTTGAGGACTGGGCTATTCAGGGCAGCAGGCGCACGTATGCATTTCTTAACGTAATTCTTCACGTGCTTTGAAAAATGCTGGCCACGTTTCCAGCAGTTGGTAGCATGGCTCCCGTGTTGGACACCAGGGGTGGAGAACATTTTTATCCTGCCACGTTTTCTGGGGAGCACAGAATTTATGAGTAAAATGAAGATGTCGAAGATGGACGTTTTGGGGGCTCCAGGCTGGGAGGGGGCTCGGGCAGGGGGCGTGGGTGGGGGTTGCCTCGTGTGGGGAAGGGGAGAGTGGTGAGGTTAGGGGAGAGTTGGGTCTTTACCCTGAGGGCGATGGGGAGCCATGGGAGAGGCTAGAAGGAGGGAGAAGAGCCAAGTTTTGCTTCTCAAGTTTTGCTCCTCAGGCTGCCTGAGGATGTCGGCAGACTTGGGAGGAAGCCACCATGGGGACTGCGCTGCGGTGGGGCTGCTGTTCCTTTGGGAGGAGGGAAGGTGAGGGGACGACTCCCAGAGCTGTAGCCTGAGCCCCTGAGTGGGGCGTGCATTGCAGAGCTGGGGCCACAGGATGAAGTCCCGGGACCATCTGAAGCCAGACAACCTGGTGGGCCTGAGGGTTTGGGGCAGGGGCTGTGCTCAGGGCCCGTGTCCACCAAGGGTTTCGCCTGCCCGGCGTGGTGACCCCACTCCTGGTACTGAAGTCGGTCGATTGGGTTTCTTGCGCAGAGGTGGCTGAAGCCACTTGGGCAGCGTTGGCCCTTCTGTATCGAGGGCAGCCAGCCTTCTCCAGAAAGGAGCAGGGAGTCAGTATTGCTGGCTGTGCAGGACGGGTGGTCTCCGTTGCAATCATTGGACTCTGCTGTTGTGGCAGAAGCAGCCGAAGACAGTTCACGGACAAAGGGCACAGCTCGTGCCCATGAAAGTTGATTTGAAAAGCAGGCTGGGCCCAGACTCGTTCATGTGTGCTCTCCGCCGACCCCTCCGTCCTACCCAGTGTGTACTGAACGCCCTTCGAAGCCCCCTCTCCCATTTACCAACGAGCCACCAGGCCAGGATCAGCCCCCAGTCCCTCTTAGGAGGGGACCCAGCGGAGGCCAGGGCTGGGAAGTCACCTGCACTGAGCGTTCCTTGGCCACTGGCAGCCTCTCTGAAACAGCATCTTCCGCTGTCACCCTCACGGCAGCCCGGGCAGGTGGGCAGCTCCACACCCCTGTCGCCGGAATTGAATCCAAAGCCTGGGGGGTGGGCAGCTCCTGGGCCCGCTCCCGAGCACCCAGCCCTCTCCGAGGCGGCCAGGGTGGCCCAGGCAGGCAGGGGTCCTTCCCACAGGGGCCGACTCTGCAGTGCTGCACCCAGGAAATCACAGAAAAACACTCTGACAGCAGCACCTTACTCTATCAGTACATTTTAATTAGAACGAGAGCGAGGGATGCATTATGAATATTCATGTTGGGTTATTAAAATGCATAATTAATCAGCGGGGGGACTTTAATAACTGTATTAATGTGGGGGCTGTCCCTATTTTTGTCATTTTTAGGAGGAGGCTGAGGGCTGGGTGAGGGGAGGGTTCCCCGAAAGGGCAGATTGAGGCCGAGCCGCCTTGGTAGGAGCTTTCTGGAGTGAGCCTCAGGGGCGATCCCTGGGTGTGGGGTCTCAGGCGGCCCCCCACATGCCAGGCCTTCCAGGGGGTGAGGGCTGGGGTGCCAGGAGCATGGAGGAGCTTGTCTCCGGTGGGGCTATGCCTGGAGGGGACCGGACAACAGGCGGGTGTGTAGAGGGGAAACTGAGGCCCAGAGGTCCTGGCGCTGTGCCCATCCTCGCCCAGCCAGCCCGCCCTGGCCTCGGCAGCTGCCCTGTTGGCCAGGGCACGTGTATGGGACCAGGATCTTGGGGTGTGGATGCCCCAGACCTGGCAGCCAGTGCCGCACGGATTCCTGGAAACACGGGAGCCCCCTACCTGGCCCCCCAACCCGCCAAGGCCACATCCCAGCCCCCCACTCATAATCACATTGGAAATTTTTGATTAGGAAAAAAAAAAAAAAATCTAAATGAGGTGCATGTGAATATTCATTAGAGAAGATTAATATGCATAATTATGCAAATTAGACAGCAATTAAACACCAATACTTCCCGAGGGGAATGAGTAACACGAAGAAGCCACCGAAATAGAAAGATGCAATTTGAAAGAAGTTTCTGGTGCAGGCGAGCTGGGCGGGCGGAGGAGCCGGGCTGGGTCCGGCAGCCTGCAGTGTGGAGTCCGCGTGGGGGAGGACAGCCTGAGCGTCTGCCTGTCACAGACATCGTGCCGGGCTGCGTCCCCCCAGCCCGGCTCTCGGGAGGCCTCTGGACTTGAGAGTTGGACATGGGCACCTCAGGCCTTCGGAAGTATGGCCTATTTGTAATTCCGTTTATCATAGAGAGGGAAACTGAGGCAGGGCCGAGACCCCAGGGCCACAATCCTTCTCCAAGTGTGTGCTTTGTGGCCCTCCATGGATGGGGGAAGGGTCCGAACAGGCCTGCCCTGCCCTGGGCAGAAGATTCCGGAGTCCTGGGCGGTTGCCTGAGTGTTCTGAGTGATAAGGGCCCCACCTGCCGCACCCCACCCCACCCCACCCTGGGACCAAGGTCCTCGTTCCAGCCCGAGCTGCAGGCTGGGAGCTCCTGCCCCAGTACAGGCCTCTGGTCTCCGCCTGGGGCTTGTTCCTGGGTGGTGTGATTCGGCTCCACCCTCTCGGGCTGCGGCCTCCTGCAGCTTCAGCAGAGGGCGGCCCCCCCTCCCACACTGGCAAGTGGGGACAGGGAGACCCCCGCCCTCCCCTGGAGCTCTTTGTTCACTTCCACACCCTCAGGCTCTTGAGAAGAGTCCACCTGCCACAGAGCCCCCAGCCCATGATCAGGGCTGGGCCAGAGGGAGGCACTTGGGACTGTGGGGGAGGAGGCTCGGCATGAGAGTGAGGGCTCTGCCCAAGGAGGCCATGATGGCTGGGGCTTCAGTGGGTGGGTAGGAGTTTGCCAGCAGAGAGCTGATGGAACAATTCCTTAATTGTGTGAACCTGGGAGTCCCTGGGTGTCACCTGCTGACTGGCGTCCCTGTTAGTCAGGCTGGGTGAGTCTGGGTTAGGAAAGAGTTCCACATACCCCCCTGGATCCACTGAGACTTGCCCCTTAGACTCCGGGAACCCTGCGTGCCCTTGGAGCTGGGCCCGGTGTGAGGGTGACCGTGACTGTCTCTGTCCTGCCTGCAGGTCTTGAGGACAGGCCCAGCTCAGGCTCCTGGGGCAGCGGCGACCAGAACAGCTCTTCCTTTGACCCCAGCAGGGTAGGAGCCCCCAGGAGACCTCAGATCCTGAGTTTCCTGTCCCCAGAGTAGGGGGATGTGTGGGGAACTGAGGCTGAGAGAAGGGGCCAGCCTTCCAGGGGTTTGGAGGGGGAGACGTGGGGAACTGAGGCTGAGAGAAGGGGCCAGCCTTCCAGGGGTTGGAGGGGGAGACGTGGGGAACTGAGGCTGAGAGAAGGGGCCAGCCTTCCAGGGGTTTGGAGGGGGAGACGTGGGGAACTGAGGCTGAGAGAAGGGGCCAGCCTTCCAGGGGTTGGAGGGGGAGACGTGGGGAACTGAGGCTGAGAGAAGGGGCCAGCCTTCCAGGGGTTTGGAGGGGGAGACGTGGGGAACTGAGGCTGAGAGAAGGGGCCAGCCTTCCAGGGGTTGGAGGGGGAGACGTGGGTTCGAGTCCTCCTCTCCAGCCTTAACACGGGGTGGGGGGCCTGTGGAGCCCAGCACGCCTCATCCCCACCGTCTCCCATAGACCTACAGCGAGGGCGCCCACTTCACTGAGTCGCACAGCAGCCTCTCTTCGTCCACATTCCTGGGACCGGGACTCGGAGGTGAGTGCCCGCCTGGCGCGGTCCCTCTGCCGTGCACGGATGTGCAGACGTCGGCGTGGTCAGTGCACGCGCCGCAGCAGGCATCCCCAGCGTTCACGCAGAGGGTGTGGGCAGCCGAAGCCACAGCCTGGCCTCCCCGCCACGGCGCCCTGCGACTCGGCTTCCCCGCCTGGGTGTAGAGGCAGGGAGGCCACTCCAGACCCCCATCCTCCCTGCAATTTGTGCAGGGCTCCTCCTGCTTCCTGGGGAGGGGTCAGCAGGGCTGGCTGGCCGTTGCGTAGGAGTCAAGGAGGCGGCCCCCATGTGTGGCGGTCAGAGCCTGTGCTGTTCCATAGGCCGCCACCCTCTCTCCCTGGGGACTTCTTGTTAAGCGAGAGGACCGTGACTCAGGCCGGGGCGGGGGCTCACGCCTGTCATCCCAGCACTTCGGGAGGCCGAGGTGAGTGGATCACCTGAGGTCAGGAGTTCGAGACCAGCCTGGCCAACACGGTGAAACTCCGTCTCTACTAAAAATACAAAAATTAGCCGGGCCTGGTGCTGGGTGTTTGTAGCCCAGCTACTCGGGAGGCTGAGGCAGGAGAATCGCTTGAACCCAGGAAATGGAGGCTCCAGTGAGCTGAGATCGCACCATTGTGCTCCAGCCTGGGCGACAGAGCAAAACTCAGTCTCAAGCAAATAAAAAGAGTGACGACTCAGACCTGGTGTGTCATCCCACGCCGCTGTGTACCCTGGGCAGGAGCCATCCTCTTCTGAGCCTCGGTTTCCCCACTGTGGGAAAGGGACCCTCCCAGAAACTTCCTGGAGGGAGGCAGTGAGCTCTGCAGGCCCTGCCGATCGCGGGGTGGGGGTTGGTGACTGGTGGCTACCGGCCCACCGGGTCTTGTGACTGTCCCGGCCCCGCTGCCAGCCCACCCATGCTTGGGAAGGGGCGCCCTGGTGCACTGTCTGTGGCTGTGCGGGGATGACCAGGGTGCGCCCTCCTCCAGGGACCTGGGGCCGCGGCTAGGACGGTGTATCGTGTGCCATTTCTCCCACGGGTGACCTGGAAACCCCAAGCTTCGCAGCCCCCTCCTGTGAGGCTGGCAATCCAGTGCCCGGGGTTCGGGGAGCTTGAGTAGGGGTCTTGGGGGACCAGCAAGGGGCTCAGGGTCCTGTTGCCGTGGTGCCTTAGCTGTGGAGTTTGTGGTTCCATCCCTCAGTCATCCTGGGCCGTGGGATCCTTCCCCGCCTCTGGAACCTGGTGGTTTGAGGCATGTTTGTGGTTGGTTTTCGTGGGCGCTGCTTAGAGGCCGCGAGCTGTGGGGTGCGGGACCTGCTGCTGGGCTCACGCATACCGTGTACCTCTCAGCATTGTGGGCTGGGGGGAAGCTGAGGCCTGGAGGACTTTGCGGACCCAGCCTTTTCCTGGACCCTGAGGGGCAGCCCGTGGTTGGGCCCCATGGCGGGCCGGCTTGTCCTGCCTCGCTTTACCCAGCCTAGGACCTGGCATGCAGGGGGTTGGTGTCCTGGGTAGGAAGCGAATGGTGTGAAGGTAGGGGAGGGTGTGCCTGAGACCCACCACGTGCCGGGGTGGTTTCTGCCCATTTCCCAGACGAGGAAGGTGAGGCCTGGCCCTACTCCCACCTGGGGTGGTCTCTGCACCCGGTGGGCTGGTTCTCTGCTGGCTGTCCTTCCTCCTAGCCTCTTCCTCATACCCCTGATGGCCCCAGGGTGGGCAGGGCTGACACAGGCAGTTCCCGTGGACTGGGCAGCAGTGCCCAGAGCCCAGTCGTGTCCCACCTGCCACCCGTGGGGCCTGGGCCCCAGCCCAAGCAGCTTCAGTAGGGCACCGGGGGTCCCGGGAGGCACTGGGGGCATTGGCATAACCTCAGCCTCCCCTGGTCTCAGTTTCTCATCCGAGAAGCAGGGCAAGCGGCTGCTGTGGCCTGGGGTGGCCTGTGGCTGCTGTGGCTTGGGGGTGGGTTGTGGCCTGGGGTGGCCTGTGGGTGGGTTGTGGCCTGGGGTGGCCTGTGGCTGCTGTGGCCTGGGGTGCGCTGTGGCTGCTGTGGCCTGTGGGTGGGTTGTGGCCTGGGGTGGCCTGTGGGTGGGTTGTGGCAGTCGTCTTCCCCATATGTCCCCAGGGCCACCAAGATGAGGAAACTGGGGGGCAAAAAGCAGCAGCGTCTGTTGCAGGAGTTGGGAAATTGTTGAACCTGTTTTGTTCTGAGACGGAGTCTCGCTCCGCCGCCCAGGCTGGAGTGCAGTGGCCCAATCTTGGCTCACTACAACCTCTGCCTCCCGGGTTCAAGTGATTCTCCTGCCTCAGCCTCCCGGGTAGCTGGGATCACAGGTGTGCACCATCATGCCAGGCTGATCTTTGTGTTTTTAGTGGAGTCGGGGTTTCACCACGTCGGTCAGGCTGGTCCTCACCTCCTGATCCACCCGCCGTGGCCCCCAGAGTGCTGGGATTGCACGCAGGCATCACTGCACCCCGCTGTGGAACTTTTAAAATTCAGAAGTCGGGGAATTGTTTTCATGGTTTGGGAATAATGCATGTTAGTCGGTTGTGCATTTCATCCCCTCCCAGCAGGGCTGGGGGCTGTGCCTCCCGGTCACGTTCCTCGCCCAGTGTAAGCCAGAAGGGGATTTAAGTGGCTCAGGTCCTGAGTAGTTGGGGACCTGCTTCAGGCAAGGCTGGATCCAGGTGCCTGTGCATCAGACCCAGGCCCTCTACTCTGGGGGCTCACCCCAGCCAGCTGTCCCCCTCCATAGCGCAGGCCTCACCTGCCCTTTGTCACTGAGCACTCCAGGGAGGTGCCAGTCATTGGTGGAGGGCAGGTAACATGCCCATTCATGAACAAACCCTGGTCTGAAGGCTGCAAGCTTGGCTCTTAGGGGAAGCCTGTGCCAGGGAAACCCAGGGCCTGGGTGCGGAACCTGAGGCTGTGTGCACAGTCCCTGGGGCTCCCACCCAGGGCCCCCAGGCCTGTCCCTTGGGGCAGACAAATGCCTCTGATCCCAGCTCCCCAGGGCATTGTCCTGTCTGTGCTGGGAACCGAGGAAACGGAGGCTCAGGAAGGGCAGGGACTGGCTGGCAGGAGGCAGGGCCCCTTCAAGCTCTGCTGCTCTTCCCTGTCCCCGGGGCAGGGCTCCTGTGGGCTGCAGATGCTCTGAGTCAGCCCCGAAATCATCAGGGATCCCTTCTTGTCCCCAAGCCCGTCGCTGCTGTATGTGAGGGTCCTCTCAGCCATGTGCACTTATGGAGCGCCTGTTGTATGTGGGCCCTCAGCCACGTGCACTTACGGAGCGCCTGTTGTATGTGGGCCCTCAGCCATGTGCACTTACGGAGCGCCTGTTGTATGTGAGCGCTGTCTCAGCCGTGTGCACCTACTGAGTGCCTGTTGTATGTGAGCGCTGTCTCAGCTGTGTGCACCTACTGAGCGCCTGTTGTATGTGAGCGCTGTCTCAGCCATGTGCACTTACGGAGCGCCTGTTGTATGTGAGCGCTGTCTCAGCCGTGTGCACCTACTGAGTACCTGTTGTATGTGGGCTCTCAGCCACGTGCACTTATGGAGCGCCTGTTGTATGTGAGCGCTGTCTCAGCCGTGTGCACCTACTGAGCACCTGTTGTATGTGGGCCCTCAGCCACGTGCACTTACGGAGCGCCTGTTGTATGTGAGCGCTGTCTCAGCCGTGTGCAACTACTGAGCACCTGTTGTATGTGAGCGCTGTCTCAGCTGTGTGCACCTACTGAGTGCCTGTTGTATGTGGGCGCTGTCTCAGCCATGTGCACTTACGGAGCGCCTGTTGTATGTGTGTTCTCTCTCAGCCATGTGCACTTACGAGCGCCTGTTGTATGTGTGTTCTCTCTCAGCCGTGTGCACTTATGGATTGCCTGTTGTATGTGGGCACGTGCCAGGCACGGGGCAGGGGGCCTCAGGATGGTTCTTGGGTGGCCTCCCACTGACCTTCCTTCTACCCTTGCAGGCAAGAGCGGCGAGCGGGGTGCCTATGCCTCCTTTGGGAGAGATGCCGGCGTGGGCGGCCTGACTCAGGTGAGGGGTTTGGGCTGGGCTGGTGCGTTTTAATGCTAATCAAATCTGTCACTCTGTGATACGCAGAAGCTGTGCTGGCTCAGCCAGGTTCTGTTTGACTCCTGATAGCGGCGACAGCAGGCCCGGCCTGGGCGAGTGGGCTGGTTGGGTGTGGACAGGGCGGCGGGGGAGGCAGGTAGGACAGGGAGGGCAAGGCCTGTGGGGCTGCCATGCCCAGCTCCAGGGCTCAGATGCCCGCACACCCGAGTGGCAGGCAGGAAGACTGCTCTCTGGTGCCCCCTGGCCACCCAGCAAGCCTGCAGTAGCCACACAGGGTGCAGGCTCAGCAGGGGCTGGGCCACCCCGTGGGGCCACCGGATGATGGAGCAGATGGAACACAGGAGTCAGTGCCAGGACCCGGCTCAGGGGGGCCATGGTTCCCCAGGAAGAAAGCCCATTTAACACGTTCAGAATCAAACTGAGGGTTTTATACAACAAAATGAAAAAGACAGGAAGCAGCTGGGTGGGCAGACACCCGGCCGCGCAGAATCCGGGGAGCGGGGCGTGCGGACACCCGGCCGCGCAGAATCCGGGGAGCAGCTCCTTGGGTCAGCAGCACCGGTGACTTTTTCTCTGTCGTTCTTCATGGAAACAACAATATGGATGTCAGGGTCAGTCTTAAGTCGGAGAAACAGGGCAGGTGTCGGAGAGAATCGCCGTGAGCAGGCAGAAGGGGCGCGAGGGGCAAGTCTGAGCGGCTTCAGCCTTGGCAGTTTTTTCTCGAATGGAACGGCCTAGGGTTTGGATGCCAGCCCCATTCCTCCTGACACCCCGCTCCCCACCAGGCTGGCTTCCTGCCAGGCGAGCTGGCCCTCAACAGCCCTGGGCCCCTGTCCCCATCCGGCATGAAGGGGACCTCCCAGTACTACCCCTCCTACTCCAGCAGCTCCCGGCGGAGAGCGGCGGACGGTGGCCTGGGTGAGCGGGGTCTGGCAGGGGCAGCGGGGGCATCCGAGAGGGAGCCTGCAGAGGGAGGTGGGTGGACCCTGTACCTTTGAGATCCTGGCTGGACGCCGGGCACTTGGGTGTTGGGAGGGATGGGTGGTGACGGGATGGCCCAGTGCAGTCCATGCTCACCCCTCCTGGTGGCCCCGGCCCATGAGGCCGCCACAGACTATAGCGGCCAAGCCCGCAATTCCTTTCGCACCGTCTGATAGACTGTTGCTGTGAGGAGCCAGGGGGAGGGTCCTGCAGCTGATGGGTGCAGGCTCGTTCACGCGGTTTCTGTTTAAGACGCCTCCCGGGCTCAGGAGCGCCGGACAGCACCTCAGAGCTAGCCGGGCCCCTCCCAGGCATGGTGGCACACACCCGGGGTCCCAGCTACTCGGGAGGCCGAGGCAGGAGGATCAGTTGAGGCCAAAATTTCAAAACCATCCTGGGCAACATAGGGAGATCTCATCTTTACAGAAAGTTTTAAAAATGAGCTAAGCATGGCGGCACACGCCTGTGGGCCCGGCTTCTCAGGAGGCCGAGGCAGGAGGATGGCTTGGCCCTGGGACTTTGAGGCTGCAGTGAGCACAGACTCCGTTGCGCTCCAGCCTGAGAAGTAGAGTGAGACCCACTCAGTGAAATCACCAGTAAAAAGCACAGAAACGTAACAGATGGAGGCTCTGAATAGACCACGGACAGGAGCCTCCACCATGAGGTCGGAGGAGGCCCTGTTCGGCCTCAGCTGGGACGGGCGTCTCGGCGACTGACATTCCACTCGGGTCCCTGAGCCGAGCGCTGATTTCCCGGTTTCAGCTTTTACCCAGTAAGCGAGTTCGCAGACAGCAGCCGTGAGTGGTGAGGACTGATTGTACGCGATCACTGGGCCCGTCCGGGAAGCAGAGCCCCGCTCGGGATCCCTCAGCTCCTCGTTTTCCACACTCTGCGTCACAGGAGAAAACCCTCGTGGTTCTTGCTCGTCTTTGGACGCATGTAGATAGACCCCAGGCTTTTGATTTATGAAACGGTGGCTGCGAGGGTCCCCGTCCAGCCGTAGGGCAGGCGCTGTTCTCATGGCGGTGGCTGCGAGGGTCCCCGTCCAGCCGTAGGGCAGGCGCTGTTCTCATGGCGGTGGCTGCGAGGGTCCCCGTCCAGCCGTAGGGCAGGCGCTGTTCTCATGGCGGTGGCCGCTTCTCGCCCCTTTTGCTCCGTACAGACGCACAGCCCAAGAAGGTCCGGAAGGTCCCGCCGGGTCTTCCATCCTCGGTGAGTTGTACGAGGCTGAAGGGAGCCCGCAGCTCCTCAGTGCCAGTGCCAGGCCGTGTCCCGGGGAAGCTTGGGAACGCACGTGGGGCGGTAGGCACTGGGTGGACAGCACCCCCGAGGCCCTGGCACCGACCGGAGGCTGCCTGAGGGAAGGCAGGGAAGTTCTTCCCTAGGTCCAGCCTCTCCCTAGGTCCAGCCTCTGTCTCTCTTGCTTTGAGAGAAAGGTGGTTCCGGTGGCTGACGCCCCCTGAGAAAGGGCACGAGTGGGGCTCCCCGTTGGTTCCGTCCTCGCGGGTCCAGGCTGCCCTGCGTCCCTGCCAAGCCCCTCCGCATGGCCCGGGCTGCATGCTGCACTCCTGCGATCTCATCTCGGTGGAGGGAGAGGCGCTTGGCCCATTTCCCAGCTCTGTAGCCACCGACCGACCACGCTCTGCCCGGCGCCTGTGCCGGCCCCAAGAGCCCTGGGCGTATGTCTCCTCGCCCGTTGGGCCGGCCAGCTCCTCACAGGCCCAGGTTCAGGGTTACAGTCATACTGGCTTCAGGCCAAAGGCATGATCAGGCTCTGCCCCGGCGACCCTGCTCCCCTCCTCCAGGGCCACGCTGTCTCTCACCTGGACCCGCCCCCAGTTTCTTCCCCCATCAAGCTCACCCAGCATGCTCCCCGCTTCAGCACAGGAGCAGACCTTATCAAGTGGCCCCAGCCCCACAGTCCAGGCAGTGCCAGCCAGTTGGAGTTGGCACTAATCACAAGCCCCTCTTCCTTTTGATTCAGCCAAGGACCAGTGTTGTTCTGGGGCCAAGGGAATCACGGCACTAGGGGATTGATTCCAGCTGGGGAACAAAGAAGGATGTGATGGGGGTGTTGGAGCTGGGGTTTTGATGGATCAATAGGAGTTTTCTGGATTAAGGCAGAAAAAGGCTTTGTAGACAGAGCCAGATCTAAGGCTTCAGATACAATGGTCAGTAGTCCAGGGGGGCGGGGGCTGGTGAAGGGAGAGAGACCATCAGAACCTGAATGTGGGCCAAGGAGCTGGGGTTTATCCGAAGCAGGGGTGGCTTTACAGGAAGGGGAAATGGGGCTACCGGGAGAGGGGCAGGGGGCGGGGCTTGGGGAGGGCAGCAAGGTGCATGGGCTCATTAACCCCTCCGTCCTGACCGTGCACCCCCGCCCGCCTCCTGCAGGTGTACCCGCCCAGCTCAGGTGAGGACTACGGCAGGGATGCCGCCACCTACCCGTCCACCAAGACCCCCAGCAGCACCTATCCCGCCCCCTTCTACATGGCAGGTACATGGGGGCTTGCCTGGGAAGGTGGGGGTGGGCTGGGGTGCCCCACCTGGACCCCGCCTTACCAGCCCACCTGCCGCAGATGGCAGCCTGCACCCCTCAGCGGAGCTCTGGAGTCCCCCAGGCCAGGCGGGCTTCGGACCCATGCTGGGCGGGGGCGCATCCCCCCTGCCCCTCCCGCCTGGCAGCGGCCCTGTGGCCAGTGGTGGAGGCAGCAGCACGTTTGGCGGCCTGCACCAGCACGAGCGCATGGTAGGACCGGGGCGGGGGCCGGTGGGCGGGCAGAAGGTGGCGGTGCCCCATCTAACCCACCATCCTGCCTGATGCCCCCAGGGCTACCAGCTGCACGGAGCAGAGGTGAACGGCGGGCTTCCGGCTGCATCCACCTTCTCCTCAGCCCCCGGAGCTGCGTACGGCGGCGTCTCCAGCCACACGCCGCCTGTCACTGGGGCTGACAGCCTCCTGGGTACGGCCCCTGCCCGGGTGCGGCCCTGGACTCCTCGGTGGGGCAGGCGCGGTTGCTGGCCAAGAGCTGGGTTGGCCTGAGTTCACGTCGTCCGCCGTCTGCAGCGCGTGCCACGTGCGTTGCGATGGGGATACCTGGAAACAGCTCTTTGAGGAGTGGGTTGTTTCCGCTTGACAGCTGGGGAAACTGAGGCTCAGAGGGGCCTCGCTCGCCCAGGGTCCCTCGAGGCTCCCTGTCCCCAGAGCCCCTGTGGAGGCTGGTTTTGGGGGATCACGCTGCTCTGCCACTGCTGCGGCGTCCGTGCAGGATGGTGGAGCGCAGGGAGCGTCTTATCGGCTGTGGCACCCACGCTGGGCCACGGCGGGCAGAGGCTCCCCCGAGGCTGGGTCTCACCTCTCTCCACCCACAGGCTCCCGAGGGACCACAGCCGGCAGCTCCGGGGACGCCCTCGGGAAGGCACTGGCCTCGGTGAGGCGTGGGGCATGGGGGTGGCCAGGCGAGTGACGCGAGGGGCTGACCCTGACCACCGTCTCCTGGTCCCGCTCACAGATCTACTCCCCGGACCACTCAAGCAATAACTTCTCGTCCAGCCCCTCTACCCCCGTGGGCTCCCCGCAGGGCCTGGCAGGTCTGTAGGGGTTTTGGGGGGCGAAGGCGGCTGCTTCTGGTGCCTGCGCCTTGCTGGGATGGGCAGCAGGCAGGAAGGGAGCAGCTCACCCTCGGGGGCCAGTGGCATCTCTGGTCAGAAACCAGACGGGGGGACAGAATCCACCGTGAGCTTGTCTTTGAGTAATCTAGGAAGGCTGCCTGGTGGAAGCAGCCTCCAAGCCAGCCCTCCAGGGCTATGGCACATAACCAGATAGTGAGGGAGGGCTTGGAGGTGGCATCCTGGTTAGGTCACAGCACAGGTAGAGCCGGGAGGCAGCACCTGGTGGTTCATGCTGCGTGAACACCAGGGGAAGCAGGCATGCCCAGCAGCTCCGGATCCCACAGCGCAGCAGTGCCAGCGCTGTGGACCGGGCTCTAGAACGTGGGTGTGTTGCTATTTGCTCACCCACAGGGTATTTATTAGGTACCAGCTGTTTACCTCGTGTGAGGCTGTTACGTGGAGGCAGACTCTCCATCCCTGTGAGGATGTGCCTGGCTACAGCAGGGAGGTTGGAGGGAGCCACAGGAGGAGAAGGAGTGAGAGCTGGAGGTTTCCAGAAGGTCTGGGTGGTTCCACTTCTGCCCTCTGGGAAGTGTCAGGGACCCTCACTTCACCTTGGCCTGTCTGGTCCCACCTGGAGCTAATGACCTCCCTGCCTGCTGCTGGAGCCCAGAGTGGATCGGCCAGGGTGGGGCAGCATGGGGAGGAGCCCCTCTGCCATGTACCCCAAGCCACTTTACCCCCGGTGTAGGGGTGGTTGCATTTTGTAGATGGGGAAACTGAGGCTCAGAGATTGGAATGGCAGTGCCCACTGGGCACCCAGCATCCCTGCCTGGGAGACAGCTTTTCCAGTCGATGTGGGGTGCCCTGGAGTGGCCATCGTGGGCAGGCGGAGGCTGGCCCAGGCAATTGATGAATCCCTCCCCATGGGGGTCCCTCCTTACCTGCTCCTTACACCCCATTCACGAGCCCCTCCTCCTTTCCAGGGACGTCACAGTGGCCCCGAGCAGGAGCCCCTGGTGCCTTATCGCCCAGCTACGATGGGGGCCTCCACGGCCTGGTGAGAGCCTGCCCCGCCCCGCCCCACCTCACCCCATTCTTCTCCCGCAGAATATACAGGGCAGATGCCCCTCGAGAAGGAGAAACCGTGTTAATTTCTCATACGTCAGCTCTAAGCTGGCACTGAGGCCCCGTGGCTGCCAGAGCACATGCAGGGATGGGGCAACAGGACCGCCTGCCACTTGCATGCAAAAGGGGATGCGGACGGGGTCCTGTGGTGTCCCGTGGGATCCCGTGGCCTCGGCCCTCACCACCCGCCCCCGCCCCGCAGCAGAGTAAGATAGAAGACCACCTGGACGAGGCCATCCACGTGCTCCGCAGCCACGCCGTGGGCACGGCCGGCGATGTGCACGCACTGCTGCCCGGCCACGGGGCGCTGGCCTCGGGCTTCGCCGGTCCCATGCCGCTGGGCGGCCGGCACGCCGGCCTGGTGAGCTTTGGGCAAGGGCGGGGCTGAGCCACAGGCAGGGACCCCAGCTCCTGCTGACTGGCCCCTGTCTCCCTACCCGCAGGCCGGAGCCGGACACCCCGAGGACGGCCTTGCAGGCAGCCCCAGCCTCATGCACAACCACGCGGCCCTTCCCAGCCAGCCAGGCGCCCTCCCGGACCTCTCCCGGCCCCCCGACTCCTACAGTGGTGAGCCCTCGAGCTCAGGTCATCCATCTCACCCCTGGTTCCAGTTGAGAGAACTGAGGCACTCCAGTGGTGGGAGTCGGGGGAGCCTGGGCAGGTGTGGTCACCGTGGGGGCAATGGTGACATGGGTGCCGAGTCAGCACCTTCAGGAGGGCGGCCTCCGGGCTACCTCTTGATCCGCCTGCTCCTGTATGCCGTGTGCCTGGCAGCGCCCAGGCCTGGGGCGGACCGGGGTATACAGCAGGCTGCCCTGCCTCGGGAGACAGGCCCGGAGTTCACTGCACAGCGCAGGTGCTGGCTGGGACGATGAACCCAGTGTCCGGCGTGGGTCGGGGGTTTTGTGTGGTTTTAAAAATGGGGGCTCTGGAAGTCAGAAGATGATGTTTGAGCAGCACCTGGGAGGGGGCGAGAGCGGGCAGGGGCCTGGAGGAGGAGGAGGGTTCCAGGCCGAGGGCGCAGCCCACGCAAAGGCCCTGGGGCCAGACCATGCCCGGGAGGAGCAGCCAGGAGACCCTTGGGGTTGGAGCAGGGAAAGGAGAGGAGAGCGGGAGGAGGAGGAGAGGGAGGAAGAGAGGGAGGAGGGGGAGGGGGAGAGGGGAGGTCGTGCGGGGCCATGTGGGCTGCAGGGAGGACTCAGGCTTTGATGGCGAGGGAGGTAGCAGTCCTGGAGGCTGCGGTGAGGAGGGATGGGTGTTCACAGACACCCTCTGGTGGCGGCTTGGAGGACAAACCATGAGTGGCACTGTGGGTCCAGGGCAGAGGCCACAGGGCTGGTCCAGGGTTCATGGATGGGTGAGCGGTGGGTGGGCTCTGCCTCTCCTGAGGGCGACGTGAGAGGAGGCAGGGTGGCCCGAGCTGCGGGTAGCTCTGGGGCTGAGAACCCCATAAGGAAGGGGACAAAGGAACGGGTTTGGGCCAAATCTGCCTGGGCCTGGGGATTGTCAGCATCTGACACCCGGAGAGGCCCAGGAGGAGGCGGGGTCACTGTGGGCCCGTTCCCAGCCGCATCCCAACACCACGCCAGGAATGCCTTCCAGTAAGCCCTCCCAGGGACCTTGATTTTTATCACCGCAGCAGCTCTGCCCCAGGGGACACCGGGTGATGCCTGGGGACATCTGTGGTTGTCAGGGCTGGGGGTGCCCCCAGCATGGAGTGAGTGGGGGTCAGCAGTGCTGCTCAGCACCCTGCAGTGTCTGGGACGGCCCCACCTCAGAGAAGGGTCCGGGCTCACGGGTCGACAGTGCCGGGGACGGTCCCACCGCAGAGAAGGGTCCGGGCTCACGGGTCGGCAGTGCCGGGGACGGCTCCACCCCAGAGAAGGGTCCGGGCTCACGGGTCGGCAGTGCCCGGGGATGGCTCCACCCCAGAGAAGGGTCCGGGCTCACGGGTCGACAGTGCCGGGGACGGCTCCACCCCAGAGAAGGGTCCGGGCTCACGGGTCGGCAGTGCCGGGGACGGTCCCACCCCAGAGAAGGGTCCGGGCTCACGGGTCGGCAGTGCCCGGGACGGCCCTGAGCTCAGTCTTACACCCACAAGCTCTCTTGTTTCCCTCCTATGGGCTGGTCCTGGTGGCTGATGTTGGCTGATTGAACCGGAGTTCACTGTGGGGAGCAGGCACATTTCTGAGGCTCCCCCTCAGGATGTGGGGGTCTCGGGGCATGGGAGCTGGTTTGCTCCATGTGAGCCCTGACTCTGAGTCCTGGACTCCCCAAACCCTGGTTTTGGGGATGGCCCAGGCCTTTGCCTGCTGAACGCAGAGTGGCTGCTTTCTTTCGGGGCAGCCGTGTGCCTTTAAGCTTTAACCGTTACTGAAGTTCACGAACACAGCGTCCGACTGGCGTGTTTTCTGCCCCTTGGTTTGCTGGCTGACGTTGCGTGTGGGGCACGTGTGTGGTGTGAGTCAGGGGTTCCCACTGTGAGCGCACTGTCGCCCCTGACCTGGCTGTGGGGCACGAGAACTCGCCAACATTAGCTTTCCTGCCGACCTGCTGATCAAGGGCGTGATAGACCCGTCGTCAACTCAGGAAAGGCTCATGAGTAGTTAGTTCTCCAAAGCAGAGATACCGGCTTCCCCTCCCACAGGCAGGACTTTGGATGTTCAGGCCTCTCGACTCTGCCAGCTCAGTGGGTATGAAAGGGGAGTGTAGGCCGGGCGCGGTGGCTCACGCCTGTAATCCCAGCACTTTGGGAGGCTGAGGCGGGTGGATCACGAGGTCGAGAGATCGAGACCATCCTGGTCAACATGGTGAAACCCCGTCTCTACTAAAAATACAAAAATTAGCTGGGCATGGTGGCGCGTGCCTGTAATCCCAGCTACTCGGGAGGCTGAGGCGGGAGAATTGCCTGAACCCAGGAGGCGGAGGTTGCGGTGAGCCGAGATGGCGCCATTGCACTCCAGCCTGGGTGACAAGAGCGAAACTCCGTCTCAGAGAAAAAAAAAAAAAGATAAGCGTATTGCAGCCCTCATATGCGTTTCCTTAATTTCCCGCTGGGCTGAGGCGGACTTCCACGTGTTTCTGGCCACGTGGTCTCCCTGTTGATGAGGTGCCTGTTTGGGTACCTTGCTTATTTTCCTACTGAAGAACTTCATTGTTGTCGTCTTTCATTGACGTGTCAGAGTTCCCTGTACAGGTGGGAGGTCGTCCCCCGCTGGCTTCGTCTGTGGCCCGTGTCCTGTATTCCGTGGCCCGTGTCCTGTATTCCGTGGCACAGCCTTTCGTTTTCCTGGTGCCTCTGCTGATCAGAACTCTGGATTTTCACGCAGTTGAGCTTGTTGATTTGTGGGTTTTTCTTTTTTACTTATTTAATTAGGGTTTTCTTGAGACAGGGTCTCACCCTCTCACACAGAGCGCAGGGGCGTGATCACAGCTCACTGTAGCCTTGATCCTCCCACCTCAGCCTCCCAAAGTGCTGGGATTACAGGCCCGAGTCACTCACTGTGCCTGGCCTGTGTTCTTTTTAAAAACACTTCTTGGGGTATCTGCTTGGACAGCACGTGACTAAAATGAGATGACCGATTGGCATAGCGTTTTCACAGAGATGACATGATAATTCCTGAAGTGTTTCTTTTTTTTTTTTTTGAGACATAATCGAGTCTCACTCTGTCGCCCAGGCTGGAGTTCAGTGGCGCAATCTTCGCCTGCTGGGTTCAGGCAATTCTCCTGCCTCAGCCTACCGAGTATCCGGGATTACAGGCACGCGCCACCAAGCCCAGCTAATTTTTTCGTATTTTTAGTAGAGACGGGGTTTCCCTGTGTTGGCCAGGGTGGTCTCGATCTCCTGACCTTGTGATCCGCCCGCCTCGGCCTCCCAAAGTGCTGGGATTACAGGTGTCAGCCACTGCACCTGGCTGTGTTCCATATTTTTAAGTCAATGATTTAAAGTTTTCTTCCCTCCCCCCCCCCAAAAAAAAGTTCTTTTAGCATTTTAATAGGTCCCCGCCCGAGTTGCCACAGAATTTCTGCACTTTCTTCCAAAGATGGTGAAGCTCTTTCCCTTTCACCCTCTAGTCCTTAAGTCTGTCTGGCGTTGGGCAGGACATGTGGTGTGAGGTAGGGATCCGGTTCTGGTTGTTCGTTTTTTTTGTTTTTAATTTTGGCAAAGACCTGGTTTTTTCCAGGAGGGCCCAAGCCCCTCACCACAGGAGCACAAGGAGATGTGTCAGGTGGCCTTGGAGGCCGCTCTCAGCCCCTGACCCCTGGCCTGTTGCAGGGCTAGGGCGAGCAGGTGCCACGGGAACTGCCGCCGGCGAAATCAAGCGTGAGGAAAAGGAGGACGAGGAGAACACCTCAGCAGCCGACCACTCAGAGGAGGAGAAGAAGGAGCTGAAGGCCCCCCGTGCCCGGACCAGGTGCCAGCCCCCACCTCGGCCCTTCCCACCCCCAGCCCGTCAGGACGCACACGCACACAGGCCACATGCACACCGCACCCACACCGGGAGGCCGTCGGCGGGCCCCACGCCCGTCCCCCAACCTCACTGTCTCCCTCTGGCCCCCTCCTGGCGCCCTCCCCCGTAGCCCAGACGAGGACGAGGACGACCTTCTCCCCCCAGAGCAGAAGGCCGAGCGGGAGAAGGAGCGCCGGGTGGCCAATAACGCCCGGGAGCGGCTACGGGTCCGCGACATCAACGAGGCCTTTAAGGAGCTGGGGCGCATGTGCCAGCTGCACCTCAACAGCGAGAAGCCCCAGACCAAACTGCTCATCCTGCACCAGGCCGTCTCGGTCATCCTGAACTTGGAGCAGCAAGTGCGAGGTCAGTGGGGGCGCGGGCCACCAGCGTCCCCGCAGTGCCACCCTCCCTCGTGTTCCTGCCCTCGCTCTCCTTCCCCACCCGCCTTCCTGGAGCCAAGCTTCCCTCTGCAGCAGTGGCCCCTTGCAATGACTGCCCCTCACTCACCCCCTGACCTCACTGCAGTGACTGCCCCTCCTGACGGCCCGCCCTCCTGTTTGCCGGCCTCAGCGTCCCCTCCGCAGTGGGAGGACCGGACTGTTTGTGGACCTCTAAGCCCGCAGGCCAGGGCTCTGTGGCTCAGAACTGCACCCCCACCCCAGGGGCTCCCACCTGCCCTGTCCTCCTCCTTGGGAAGCCCAGAGCCAGGCTCGCAGGGCCCAGAGCCCAGAGACAGGAGCTGGTGTGCAGAGCACCCTGGCTCCTTCCCCTCAAGCAGATGCCACGCAGGGCCATGAGCTTGTCACTCCCCCCGAGTCACTTTCCCCGTCTCTGGGTGGGTGTTCATCACCCCAATTCCCAGGGCCAGGGGGGATGAAGGATCGACAGACCTGCCCACCCCGGATGTGAGCCGACTCCCTCCCCCTGCTGGCCGCTGCTTCCTTAACTCCTTCCTCTCTCCGCCTGCACCCTGTTAACCCTTTCTCTCCTGCAGCACTGTTGCTGGGACCGGAGCCAGAGCCCTGGCCCGGCCGACCCGCTGTCCCCTTCGCTCTAAGGTTTCCGAGTCTCCAGCCGTGTGTGTAGCCCGCCTCTGCTGTCTGCCCTTTGCTCTCCCCTCCATCCCGCCCACCCGCCCCTCTGCTTCCTGTGGCAGCCCCTCCTCACCTCGCACTTGCTGCCCGAGCACAGGAGGCCGGGCTGCAGCCTCAGGGCCTTTCCTCCCCCAAAGCCCCCATCAGGGCTTCCGGGAAGAAACTGACCTGGGGCACACGAAGCCCCCGGCCCTCACTGTCAGTTTGGTCTGTGCGCTTGTCCTGGGCTCCAGGGGCCGTCCCCGCCACCTGGAGGGATCCCCTCAGGCCACAAAGGCTGGGCAGGCAGGTGGGTGAGGCAGCCCCCCAGGGACTAGGGCAGGGCACCAGGCATGCTGGGCACCGGGACAGGCCTTCGCCCATTTCATCACCACAGCCCAGAGATGTGGGTGCCCTGATGGGGACTGGCATCCATTCTACCGAATAGGCGCTGGGGGAACAGAGCGAAGTCACCTGTGCAGGGCCACACCGCACATAGGCCTGGCCCGAGACCTGCCTCCGGGGCAGCAGCGACCGCTTGCCGGCTCCATGCGGCTCGGGGAGAGGAGGCTCAGCCCTGGGCCTGGCACAGAGCAGGCACTGGGAGCCCGAGCTGCCACTGCGACCATTCACGGTGGCAGTGACGACAGGCGTCTCAGGGGCCAGCGCTCCCAGCCAGGGCAGGTGCTGCAGGTGGGGCTCACCTTGGGGCAGCCATAGTTCACTGTGGGGAGTGTGCATTTCTGTGGCTCCCCCTCGGGGTGTGGGGGTCTCGGGATGGGAGTTGGTTTGCTCCATGTGAGTCCCAACTCGAGTCCTGGACTCCGCAGTGCCGGGTTTTGGGGATGGCCCAGGCCTTTGCCTGGTGAGCCTGTCTTCAAAGACCCCTCTGTCCACAGTGGGTCTGGCCAGGCCTAGCTGTTCATCACCCCGCAAGCTACTGCCCAGGGCGGGAAGGTGATTATCTCGAGAGGGATAAATAGAGAGGAGCAGACACTGGGACCCCCTGTGCCCCAGCCCTGCCCGGGGCCCACAGTGAACAGGGTCAAGGGAGAACCAGTTACTGCACCGGGCGGAAGCAGGGCCCCGCCTCCTTCCACACAAACGTCCTGGGGACAGTCAGACCTTGGTCCTTGGATGTGACACATCCATAGCCTCCTCTAGAGCTGAGGGCGCGTGCACCTGGCCAGCCACTCAACACACACACACGCACACACACGCTCCGCTGCTTTCCGGGAAGCACTTCTGCGCACAGAGGAGCACATTTTCACAGGTGTCACAGCAGGTGCATCAGCATGTGCACCCGCACTGCTGCCCACGCCAGCACCGTCCATACACCAGCACCATCCATACACCAGCACCGTCCGTGCACCCGCACTGCTGCCCACGCCAGCACCGTCCATACACCAGCACCGTCCGTGCACCCGCACTGCTGCCCACGCCAGCACCGTCCATACACCAGCACCATCCATACACCAGCACCGTCCATACACCAGCACCGTCCGTGCACCCGCACTGCTGCCCACGCCAGCACCATCCATGCACCAGTACTGTCCATGAACCCGCACTGCTGCCCACACCAGCACCAGCCAGGTACCCACACGGCTGCACGCAACACCACACACACACACAAGTAGCTGGATACCCTCTCCGCCGCCCAGCGCCGCCCTCCCGCCCAGCCCTGGCACATCACTAACAGAGGCCTCGGTGCTGTGACCCAGCAGTACGGAGGAGGTGCTGTCCCTGGAGGAGAAGGACCTGAGGGACCGGGAGAGGCGTATGGCCAATAACGCGCGGGAGCGGGTGCGCGTGCGGGATATTAACGAGGCCTTCCGGGAGCTGGGGCGCATGTGCCAGATGCACCTCAAGTCGGACAAAGCACAGACCAAGCTGCTCATCCTGCAGCAGGCCGTGCAGGTCATCCTGGGGCTGGAGCAGCAGGTGCGAGGTAGGCTCCCCGGCCAGGCGGCCCCGCACCCTCCCCTTCCCTCACCCCAGTGCACATGCCGGCGTCCCCCTATGCTTGCTGGCCCCGGACTCTCCACATTTCTGTCTCTGTGGCTGGCCTCAGATCCTGTGACCTTCCCCAGACACCCTCTGATACCCAGTCTCTTCTTTACAACCCCCCCACCCCACCCCGCCAGCCTTCTCAAGGAAGGAGGTGAGAGCTGGAGATGCAGGTGGCCACACGTGACGGGGCCCGGCACCCACCCCACCTCCCCGACATCCTGTACCCCACTCTCTCCCCACCACTCCTCCTCCCAGGGACCCTCTCCCACAGAGCTCTCCCCCTACCCCCAGAGCGGAACCTGAACCCCAAAGCCGCCTGTTTGAAACGGCGAGAAGAGGAGAAGGTGTCGGGTGTGGTTGGAGACCCCCAGATGGTGCTTTCCGCGGCCCACCCAGGCCTGAGTGAGACCCACAACCCCACCGGGCACATGTGAAAGGTACGCCTCCGTGGGACAAGCCACCCACCCTCAGCCCCGTGTGCAGGGCCCAGAGCAGCCACCCGAGGCCCTGGGCCTCATCCGCATCCGCAGCTCACATGCTTTTTGTCAGCATCCAGCCGGCACCGGCCTGACGAGTTTCAGAGCGAAGCGGGTGACGAAGGCGACGCCGGGCCCGGGAGTTCCTGGGACCCCAGCTCACCCCTCACTGGCTTCGATCCCCCACCCCCAAATCTCAGCCACCATGTCACCCCGTGATCTGCCCCGTGGATCCTGAAGCTGCGTCTCGGCCCTTTGCCTGGGCCCACAGGATCGTATGTTTCTTTGCAGTAAACAAGAAAGCAGCAAAACAGACACTTTGTCAGAAAAGAGAAAATGCCTTAACTATGAAATGTGGAGAAACGGAAACGTGACTGGAGGGGGTGCCGTGGAAACCTGGCTCGCGCTCCAAAAGCCACCAGCAAATCGTGCCTACGCGTACTATTTTTTTTAAGGAAAATAAAAACATTAGTTACGAGATTTTTTTTTTTTCTTAATAGATAAAAATGAGCAAGGATGCTGCCTTTGGTCTCTGGTTTTTTTAAAGCTTTTTTTTTTGCATATGTTTTGTAAGCAACACTTTTTTTGTATAAAAGTTCCGTGTCTCTCGCTACTTCTGCTGCTGTTTCTAGACGGAGCATTGCGTTTCCTGGTCAACCTGATGATTAAGACCCCGTGTAACCCCGAGTCCCTACGCCCTGCCCCGGAAGGCAGCGCACGCAGACGGAGCGGGGAGCCGGGCAGGCGGCCGGGCTTCTGCTTCATGGCGGAGGCTCCCCTCTGGGTTTTGTCTCGTGCAGAGTGACACCTGGGCATTCCCCCAGTGAAGGCTCCTTGGGGCTGCCCTGCCCCACCCTCTTCCCCTCACGAAGGGGCAGATCTGGGCATAGGGGAAGGGACATCAGCAAGGTGGCTCTGACACTCCCAGGTGACTGCCAAGCAGCTCCAGCCCCCAGGGCTGCCCACGCAGCGTCCTCCCCAGGCCCCCATAAGCTGCTCTCTCTTGGAACCTGCGTCCTTTTCTGAAATGGGGCATTTTGTCTGGGACCAGCGATCCCTGGCACAGGGCCACACCCTGGAGCCCGGTGCTGGGGCCTCCCAGACCACCCTGTCCTTCGCTACGTTGCTTCAAGAACCCAAGCCCATGCTCCAGACTCTGGCTGAGGGGGTGCAAGTTTGGGGCCAGCACAAGACACCCACCACCCCCGCATGTCCCTGTCACAGCGGAGGGCCATTGGCATGGACAGGATGCATCCTGGCGGCATTCCCCAACGCTGGGAAGCATCCCGGGGCGGGGCCACACCTGCTGCCCTCCCACGGTGGGACCCAAGGGCAGGATTGGCTGGAGCTGGAGACAGTGCTGGTCCCTGAGCCCCACGAAGGCCCTGGGCTGTGTGTCCGACTGCCACAGAACCAGCGGGGCGGCCCACCAGTCCCAGCACCCAGGCCTCTCCAGTCCCCTTTGCTGGCCTCTTGCCACGAGGGTTACCAGCTCTTCCAACAGGCTGCCCCGAGATCCCCTTCCGCTCCACACAGGCCACAGCCATGGTCTCGGTGGCACTACCCGTGGGCCTGGCCTGTGAGGCACCTGCCTTTGCCCTTCCCCCTCCCCACATTGAGGCCTTGTGGACCCCAGGCTGACTCCACACCGCAGCAGCAGCTCGAGCGTCTCCCCCAGTGCCACCCCCAAGAAACTGGGCTGCCTGACTCCCCTTCCCAGCCTGGCTGGGGAGCCTGGGCCCAATGGCAGATCGAAGGGGAACCCCAAGGCCCAGGATCTGCCCCAGCCCGGGCCGGGTGGAGGGGAGGGGCTGTCCAGCTGGGTCTCCTTCTTCCATGGCGTCCCCAGGCCCTGGGGATGGGGTCTCTTAGGGAACCTGCCTTTCTCCCACTCGTTTTGCCTCTGGTCCCTGCCCCTAGGTCTGGGTGGGCAGTGGCCCTGTCGCCTCCGGAGCAGTGTGTTCCGCATAGAATTTAAATGAGATTCACCCGCATGAGGAGGAAGAAACTGCAGCAGTTTATGGGGGAAACCAGAGCTATGGGGTGGGGGGCCGGGGGGTGCTCTGAGTGCCTCAAGATGGTTTTCAAAAAATGTGTTTTTTAAATAAAATAATTTTGTACGTGTCTACACAGCTGGCTGGATTATTGGGACTTTTAAATGATCCCTTTGAAGTGGATCCAGAGACCTGTCCTGTACATAACAGCACTGTAGCAATAAACGTGATGTTTTATAACGACGCTTGGCCACCCCGATCCTTTCTGGTGTCGCGTGCTTAGGAAGGGAACTGGGGGGCAGGTCTGAGGTCTCGCCCCGAATTCTTGGCCCCTGACACTCTCCTCAGCGAGTGCAGCCAGGACTGTGGTTCCTCACAGGGACTGCTGGCTCGGAACCCCGGCACACAGCTCCCAGGGCAGCTGCTAACCTGCACCTATACCCGGGCCTCCAGGCCACCGGGAAGCAGGCTTGGCTTCCGGGGAAAGGCGGCTTCCTGGGGGCAGCAGTGGGGAGCATGAGAACAGTCCAGGACCTGCGGTCCTCCCAGCCCCGGGGCTCCTGATCTCCCCACGTTGCCCCAGCCTGTCGGAACCGACTTCTCCACTGCCCCTTAATGCTCTCCAGTTGGCGGAAGTCTGAGCCCGTGACTGCCCCTCCAGAACCTTCCATGACTCCCTGTTGCTGGCAGCATCAACTCCACACACCCAAGCGGGGCATCAGCGACTTCCTCCACACCGGACACCCGCAGAACCCATGGACAAGGCTCTCTGCGGGGGAAGAGGTGTGGCAGGAGCTGCAGGGATGTTGCTCACCCTAAGGTGCACACTGGCATCTGCTGTTGTGCCAGGGGCTTCCCTGCTCCATCTGTGTGCGAGGGCACAGCTGGACTGCCCCGCTCCTCTACAGGGTGGGGGTGGAAGGAGGCCTTCCTGGCCGTTTGAGGTGGGTGGGCCCAGGAGAGAGCGCTTTGGTGCACAAGTGCCTTAGGGAGGAGAAGGTGCATGGCTCACGCCTGTCCCAGCAGTTCAGGGGGGGTGAGGTGGGAGGATCGCCTGAGGCCAGGAGTTCCAGTCCAGCCTGGGCAACGTAGTGAGACCCCATGTGTATTTTTTTTTAAGAGGAAGAGAGTGGCCCGGAGTTGATGGAAGGTGCTGAGGGACCCCTGTCCGCCACTCGCAGCAACCAGCTCACCTCTAAATTTCTAAATTCCTGCCGGAAATCAACTTTTGAAATATGCATTTAGGCCAAGCCGGGTGGCTCACGTCTGTAATCCAGCACTTTGGGACGCTGAGGTGGGCTGGCCCCAAGAGGACAGGGCAGGCTGAGCACACGAACTCATGGTGTCCCTTCCTTACCACCAGGCCTGCAGGGCACGCTGGAGCCCCAGAGACAAATCACGCCCACTCCCCTCTCTAGGCTACTGGCCTTTCCGTGCATGCTGTCAAGGTGCCTGGGGGTCAGGCAGTCCAGGAGGGCTTCCTGAGGGAGGCAGCTCTTGAAAATGGTGGTAAAGGCTCAAAAGCGCCATGGCGGTGTCTAGGAATGTGCCCCTCTTCCTTCTGCCCACACTGGCCTGGTGTGCAGGCGGGAGGCTGGGAGCTGAGTGAGCATTTCCGATGCTGCGCCGGGCTGTGGGACAGCAGAGGCGGCCCGGGCCGGAGAAAGCGAGCCCAAGCAAGCCGGGTGCAGCGGAAAGCAGGAACCAGAAGGACGTGCCTGCCATCAGCCGAGAGCATCCCGAGACGTTCACCGTGCGAGGAGCCAGGCCTCCCTCTGCTGCCAGGATGAGGGATCACCCTGCAGAGAGATTTCCGACTAGGCTTCCAAGCAGCGGGCAACCCAGGATGCCCACACTGAGGGCTCAGGGAAGCACTGCCGCTCGGCCAAAGTCCTACAGCGAGGCATGGACGACTGACGCCTCCAAAAGTGGGCTCCAATCCCAGCCCTTCCCCTCTGTGTGGCTCTGGGCAACACCCAACCCCGCTGGACCTCAGTCTCCTTCACTGTAGATAACGTTCTAGGACATACTAGGGGCACAAAGTCACCGTCCCGCAGCCCCATGGCTGGGGCCCACCCTCACCGCGGGAGCTCGGAAGCACAATCCGCCTCCAGAGCACGTGGTCAAAACCCCCGTCCTGACCCCGCCCACTTGGGGGAGGGCCACCGCTCCGCGGTCTTGCAACCCTCGCCGGAAGTTACTGTAAGTGGCTTCCGGGTCTGCGCGTGCAGGGCGGGTTTTTTTTTTTTTTTTTTTTTTTTTTGGTCCCAGCGCGCCTGCGCACCGCGGCCGCGCCTGCGCACTGTGTCCGGGTCGGCCGGACGGGGTCACCCTGAGGGTGCTGCTCCGCCGCGATGTTGACCCGGTTCCTGGGCCCGCGCTACCGGGAGCTGCTCAAGAACTGGTGAGAACGCAGCCCCACCGCCCCACCCGCGTTCCTGCCCCGGCCCAGCCTCGCGCCGCTGCGTTCCGCGTTTGTGCCCGTTCCTGGGGGCCGGGCCCAGGTCCCCTACTGTGCCCGGTGACAGAGGGGGAAACTGAGGCCGAGAGGCGGAGCATAGCGTCCGGGCGCGAACCGGACGTGGCGGATCCAAGGCAAATCCCCAGCATGCTCGGCTCCGCGACTACGCAGCTCTGAGCCTCAGTTTCCCCATCTCTACCGGGGGATCTGAGTGGTGACCCCCTGGACCGAGGCGCACTGAAGGCGCTGAGGCCCGAACCCCAGCCCAGCACCCACGACGTTTTCGACCTTTGCCATTGTTTTGGTTATTATGATTTTTTTTTTTTTTTTTTTTGAGACGGAGTTTGGCTCTTGTCACCCAGGCTGGAGTGCAATGGCGCGATCTCGGCTCACCACAACCTCCGCCTCCTGGGTTCAGGCGATTCTCCTGCCTCAGCCTCCCGAGTAGCTGGGATTACAGGCACGCGCCACCATGCACAGCTAATTTTTGTATTTTTAGTAGAGACGGGGTTTCACCATGTTGGCCAGGATGGTCTCGATCTCCTGACCTCGTGATCCACCCGCCTCGGCCTCCCAAAGTGCTGGGATTACAGGCTTGAGCCACCGCGCCCGGCGATGATTTTTTACGAGTAGTGAAAGCCGCAGCTGCCCCTGATCCCACCTGGGCGGCAGGTCGGCATGGGAGTGACCCCCATGGGAGCCAGGCTGGGCGTGGCCTCTGTAGGGTTGTTTGGTGTTTCCACGTGGGATGCTAAGAAGCAAGGCCTGGCCAGGTGCGGTGACTACCACCTTTTATCCCAGCGTTTGGGGAGGCTAAGGCGGGCAGATGACCTGAGGTCATGAGTTCAAGACCAGCCTGGCCAACATGGGTCTTTACGAAAATTGCAAAAATCAGCCAGGTGTGCTGGCACGTGCCTGTAATCTCACCTACTCCGGAAGCTGAGGCAGGAGAATCACTGGAACCCAGGCGGGGGAGGTTGCAGTGAGCTGAGATTGCTCCATTGCACTCCAGCCTGGGTGACAGAGCAAAACTCAGTCTCAAAAAGAATAAAAAGGCCGGGCTCGGTGGCTCACGCCTGTAATTCCAGCACTTTGGGAGGCCAAGGCGGGTGGATCACGAGGTCAAGAGATCGAGACCATCCTGGTCAACATGGTGAAACCGCATTTCTACTAAAAATACAAAAATTAGCTGGGCACGGTGGCGCGTGCCTGTAATCCCAGCTACTCGGGAGTCTGAGGCAGGAGAATTGCCTGAACCCAGGAGGCGGAGGTTGCGGTGAGCCGAGATCGCGCCATTGCACTCCAGCCTGGGTGACAAGAGCGAAACTCCGTCTCAAAAAAAAAAAAAAAAAACATAAAAATAGCAGCAATGTCATACCCGGGCGCGGTGGCTCCCCGCTGTGATCTCAGGGATTCGGGAGGCCTGGGCTGGAGAATCACTTGAGCCTGGGAGTTGGAGACCAGCTTAGACAACACAATGAGCCCATCTTTACAAAACACTAAAAACGTATCGGGGCATGTTGGTGCCTGTCTGTACTCCCAGCTACTGGAGGCAAAGATGGGAGGGTGGCTTGAACCTTGGAGTTTGAGACCAGCCTGACCCTGTCCCTACAAAAAGGTGACTGGTGCCTGTAATCTCTTTGGGAGGCTGAGGTAAGGGGATCACCTGAGGCCAGTAGTTCGAGAGCATCCTGGCCAACATGGTGAAACCCAGTCTCAACTAAAATTACAAAAATTTGTGATGCATGGTGACAGGCGTCTCTAAACCCATCTACTTGGGAGGCTGAGGCAGGAGAACCTCTTGAACCTGGGGGATGGAGGTTGCAGTGAGCAGAGACTGTGACAGCGAGACTCCGTCTCAGAAAAATAAAAATAAAGCTACTCTGGAGGTTCAGATGGGAGAGGCCCTTGAGCCCGGCAGGTCAAGGCTACAGTGAATGGTGACTTCATTGCCCTCCTGCCTGGGTGACAGAGCTATGTCCTGTCTCCAAAAAAAGAGAAAAAAAATGGGCCAGGTGCTGTAACTCACTCCTGTAATTCCAGCACTTTGGGAGACCGAGGTGGGTGGATCATCTGAGGTCAGGAGTTTGAGACCAGCCTGACCAATGTGGTGAAACCCCGTCTCTACTAACAATACAAAATTAGCCAGGCGTGGTGGCAGGTGCCTGTAATCCCAGCTGCTCCAGAGGCTGAGGCAGGAGAATCACTTGACCCTAGGAGGCGGAGGGTGCAGTGGGCTGAGATCGCCCCACTGCACTCCAGCCTGGGCGACAGAGCAAGACTCTATCTCAAAAAAAGAAAATTACCCAGAATGCCATCAAGACATAGGTGCAAAGACTCCTGCTCTGAAGGTGGCATCTGCCAGGGTCCAGAAACTACTGTGTGTGCCACCAGCAGGCGATCTCAGCTCACTGCAACCTCCGCCCCCTGATTCTCTCGCCTCAGCCTCCCTAGTCGCTGGGATTACAGGTGCCCGCCACCACGCCAGGCTAATTTTTCTATTTTTAGTAGAGATGGGTTTTCGCCGTGTTGGCCAGGCTGGTCTTGAACTCCTGACCTCAGGTGATCTGCCCGCCTCGGCCTCCCAAAGTGCTGGGATTACAGGCGTGAGCCACCGCGCCCGATCACTTTTTCTTTTTTAATTTAAATTATAATTTCTTTTGAGATAATGGTCTCATACTCACCCAGGCTGGAGTGCAGTGGTGCAGTCACAGCTCACCGCAGCCTCTGATTCCTGGGCTCAAGCGGCCCTCTTGCCTCAGCTTTCCTAGTACCTGGGACTACTGGCATGTGCCGCCACACTCGCCTAATTTTTGAAAATTTTGTGTAGAGATGGGGTCTCACTCTGTTGTCCAGGCTGGTCTCAAACTCCTGGCCTCAAGTGAGCCTCCTGCCTCACCCTCCCAAAGTGCTGGGATTCCCCTCGTGAGCCCGAGTGCCGGGAGTGTCTTTTCTCGCCTGGCCTTGGAAGTGCGGCCCCATGGAGGCCGCAGGAGGGTTCGAACGCCTCCCTAGAATGCTGGGCCCAGGCACCTCGGGGAACGCTCAGGGTGCCTGCCACGGTGGGCAAGGGCGTGGCTTGGAACCCGAGGCTTGAGCCTCGGCGGCTGTGTGGCCCCAGGCGAGGGCCCCCTCTGTCGTTTGGAGTCCTCACCTGGGAAACTGGGACTCTGATCATGGCACATCCTGCAGTCCTGCAGCTGGGGCAGGGAAGCATGAGTTCCTGCAGACTGCAGCAGACCGTGATGACACTCGGACTGGACCCACCACGGTGATGGCTGCAAACTGACAGATACCTACACGTTCCCCAGGGCCAGCCTCGCCACAACAGCGCCCCCTCCCGCAGCCCCTTGAGCAAGTCCTGGCCTGGCAGGAGCCTGGCTTCCTGAGGGCCGGCAGTGTGGGCAGGGCCTGTGCTGCAGTGCGGACACCAGGCTGGGGCCCAGGTGTGGGGCGGGAGACGCTCTTGGAGACAGCGTCTGGAGCAGGCCTGACCATCACCTCTCCTGGCAGGTGGCCCACGGCCTACACATGGGGCGCTGTTAGCACCGTGGGGCTGGTGTGGGCCACCGACTGGCGGCTGATCCTCGACTGGGTTCCTTACATCAATGGCAAGTTTAAAAAGGATGACTGATCACACCGACCCTTCGCAGACCCGTCCGGTAAGTCTCAGCGGGCTGTGGCCGTCCTCCCTGGCCACGGTGGGTGGGTGGACTGCCGGACTGCTGGATGGTGGTGGAACATCAGGCTCTCTAGGCTCCCAGAGCCAGGGCGGCAGGTCTCTGTTCACCCTGGAGAGGTCTGCCTGAGAGCGGGGCCCTGGGTGCCCGTTCGGGCACCTCCCACCACAGGCATAGAGCTGGCCGCCCTGCAGCCCTGGTTGTGTGGTTGGGGCATGGGCCCCGCCCTCTGTCTGGACACCCCCTGCTAGTCTTCCAGGTGGACCCATGCTCCCATCTTGGCCTGCATCCCAGCCTGAACTGGGTGAGGGGCCCCATGTACAGGCAGGGTGGGGGAGGCTGGCCCCCCATGAGCACTCGCCAGCACCTGTGAGGCCCTGGAAGCATCCACGTTTCTCCTGCATGCCAGCTGCCCTCCGAACCACCGTGTTGAGGTGTCTGCCCGGTACCCACGTGACAGTCCTGCATGGCCCTGCTCTTACACCCCATTTTCCAGATGCCGGCCTGAGGCCTGAGGCCTGAGGCCACGCCACCTGGGCCTCAGACCCCTGCTCCAGTGTGTCTTCCGACTGTGGAGCCTGGGGCCTGTACCATGTCAGTGTCCCTGCCAGGCTGCCGTCTGGGGCCAGCTTCATATGCAAGAAACGTTTTTTTTTTTGAGACGGAGTCTTGCTGTTACCTAGGCTGGAGTGCAGTGGTGCCATCTCGACTCGCTGCAACCTCCGCCTCCCAGGTTGAAGCCATTCTCCTGCCTCAGCCTCCTGAGCAGCTGGGATTACAGGTGTGCGCCACCATGCCTGGCTAATTTTTGTATTTTTAGTACAAACAGGGTTTCAACATGTTAGCCAGGATGGTCTCAAACTCCTGACCTTGTGATCCGCCGTCAGCCTCCCAAAGTGCTGGGATTACAGGCCTGAGCCACCGCGCCCAGCCTGGAAAGGACATTACTACTCACCCTGCCTCGTCCCTCTCCCTCAGGTGCCTGGTGGCGCCAGCTCATCCCCCCTCAGCGCCTGCTGTGTCTGGAGCAGTGCACGTCCTCAGGATGGACAGGAGGAAATCCACAGCTCCACTTCGGACTTGTGTTTCTGAAAACAGCTTGGATGTTGCGTTGCACGTTGTATTAAACGTCACTGAAACCTGCTCCGTGCCCAGATGTTGATCATGCTGCTGGCTTGGTTACCATGGCTATAGCTGGGGTGGCTCAGGTGACCCAGGGGTCCTTTCAGCTCCAAAATGTTACAGATCTAGGAGAGTTTTCCAACGGCTGGCAGAAGCCGCTGAATTATTTCAAGTGTTTCATAAGTAGTATCTGCAGTGTGTTTCTCCATTGCTGCGTTAACAACCCCACATGGGCCGGGCGCGGTGGCTCACACCTGTAATCCCAGCACTTTGGGAGGCCGAGGCGGGTGGATCACGAGGTCAAGAGATTGAGACCATCCTGGTCAAGGTGGTGAAACCCCGTCTCTATTAAAAATACAAAAATTAGCTGGGCATGGTGGCGCGTGCCTGTAATCCCAGCTACTCAGGAGGCTGAGGCAGGAGAATTGCCTGAACCCAGGAGGCGGAGGCTGCGGTGAGCCGAGATTGCGCCATTGCACTCCAGCCTGGGCAACAAGCAAAACTCCATCTCCAAAAAACAAAGTTACCCCACGGTGTAGCAGCTTAAACGGCCAGGTGCAACGGCTCACCTGTCATCCCAGCACTGTGGGAGGCCACAGCAGGTGGATCGCCTGAAGTCAGGAGTTCGAGACCAGCCTGACCAACACAGTGAAACCCCGTCTCTACTAAAATACAGGTAGCCGGGCATGGTGGTGGGCGCCTGTAATCCCAGCTACTCAGGACCCTGAGGCTGGAGAATCGCTTGAACCCAGGAGGCGGAGGTTGGGGTGAGCGAAGATCGTGCCACTGCATTTCAGCCTGGGCCACAAGAGCGAGGCTCCATCTCAAAAAAAAAAAAAAAGCAATGAACATTTGCTGTCTCACAGTTTGTGTCAGTCAAGGATTTGGGAGTGATGTGTCTGGGAGTTTGTGGCTAAGACATCAGACAGGGCTGCCTCATCTGAGGAAGGCTCTGCCCGGGCTGGAGGAGCCACTTCCAAGCCGGTGCCCTCACGTGGCTGTCAGTGACAGTGCAGTTCCTTCCTGTGGGGAACCCTACACAGCGCTGATTGAGCATCCTCACAACATGGCCTCTGCCCTCCTCAGAGCAAGGAGAATGCCACAGCGCTCTTACAACCCACCCTCAGAAGTCTCACGTCATCATTTCCGCCACACTGTGTTCATCAGAAGCAAGCCCCCTAGGTCCAGCCTACGTGCAAAGGGAGGGAAATTAGGTTTTGTGTTTTGAAGGGAAGAATATTGGAATCCGACATTTCAAACTATCACATTAGGGTTACAAAAATGAACAGGCTGGGCGCGGCGGCTCACGCCTCTAATCCCAGCACTTTGGGAGGCCGAGGCAGGCGGATCATGAGGTCAAGAGATCGAGACCATCCTGGCCAACATGGTGAAACCCTGTCTTAAAAAGGAAAATAAAAATGAACAGCTACAAAAAGAGTACATGGGCAAAGCCACAGTCCCCCTGCAGCTGAGTTCTTCCCAGCCCTTGCCAGTCTCTTAAAAATCCTCCTAGACACACTCTGCATACATAAGTGTGTTTATGGAAATAGCTATGGTATCAGTTTCCAACGGTTCCCGCAGCAAAATACCACAGATTCTGCATGGCTCAAACAACAGAAATTCATTTATTCATTTTTGGAGACGGGGTCTCACTGTGTCGCCCAGGCTGGAGTGCAGGGATGTGATCTTGGCTCCCTGCAACCTCTCTGCCTCTGGGATTCAAGCCATTCTCCTGCCTCAGCCTCCCGAGTAGCTGGGATTACCGGCACACACCATCACGCCTGGCTAAGTTTCGTGTTTTTAGTAGAGATGGAGTTTTGTCATGTTGGCCAGACTGGTCTTGAACTGACCTCAGGTGATCCACCCACTTCGGCCTCCCAGAGTGCTGGGATTACAGGCAGGAGCCACTGTGCCTGGCAGGATTTGGTTCTGATTTTTAAAAAAACATTGCCCAGGAGGATGGGCACAGTGGCTCTGAGCAACAGAGGCAGACTCTATCTCAAAAAATTAGATAAAAATTAAAAAGAGGCCAGGCGCAGTGGCTCAAGCCTGTAATCCCAGCACTTTGGGAGGCCGAGGCGGGTGGATCACGAGAGATCGAGACCATCCTGGTCAACATGGTGAAACCCCGTCTCCAATAAAAATACAAAAAATTAGCTGGGCATGGTGGCACGTGCCTGTAATCCCAGCTACTCAGGAGGCTGAGGCGGGAGAATTGCCTGAACCCGGGAGGCGGAGGTTGCGGTGAGCCGAGATCGCGCCATTGCACTCCAGCCTGGTAACAAGCGAAACTCCGTCTCAAAAAAAAAAAAAAGAATTAAAAAGAAACATTGACCCCAGGCTAGGTGTAGTGGCCCACACCTGCAATCCCAGCACTTTGGGAGGCCAAAGAGAATCGCTTGAGCCCAGAAGTTATAGGCTGCAGTGAGCCACGACTGCACCACTGCCCTCCAGCCTGGGTGGCAGAGTGAGACCCTGTCTCAAAAAAGAAACTGTGGTCCAGGCACAGTGCCTCACGCCTATAATCCCAGCAGTTTGGGAGGCAGAGGCGGGCAGATCACAAGGTCAAGAAATCGAGACCATCCTCGCCAACACGTCTCTACTAAAAACACAAAAATTAGCTGGTCGTGGTGACACGCCTGTAATCCCAGCTACCTGGAACCCAGGAGGCGGAGGTTGCGGTGAGCTGAGATCGTGCCACTGCACTCCAGCCTGGTGACAGAGTGAGACTCCATCTCAAAAAAAAAAGAAGATTGACTTGAACCCTGAATCTGTAGGTGACCAGACCCCAGTAGCAATGAGACTTCCCTGCCTACTTCTGAACCTCCTGTCCTGGCATTTAAGTCCCAGAAGGGAAGGCAGTAACTTCACACGATGGCACCAAAGCCCCCATCAGCCAGTCCTGTGATTTAGTCACTGGACTCTGCTGTGAAGAGGAGCGGTCTCGGCCCATCGGCCATTTATTCAGGCATGCACTTCCACCAGCTCCACTCGAGGACCCTTATTCTACCAAGTATAAAACATTTTTTTTTTTTTTTTTTTTTGAGATGGGGTCTTGCTCTGTCACCAGGCTGGAGTGCAATGGCGCAATCTCGGCTCACTGCAGCCTCCGCCTCCTGGGTTCAAGCGATTCTTCCACCTCAGCCTCCTGAGTACCTGGGACCACGGGCATGCGCCACCATGCCCAGCTAATTTTTTTGTATTTTTAGTACAGACGGGGTTTCCCTCTGTTGGCCAGGATGGTCTCCATCTCTCGACCTTGTGATCTGCCTGCCCTGGCCTTTCAAAGTGCTGGGATTACAGGCGTGAGCCACCGCGCCCGGCCAAGTATAAACTATTTGTGAACGTTCATTTTGTTGCTCAGGTTGATCTAAGCCGGACCATCGTGAGCCCCTTCCACATGGGCCCCTGTGTCCCTCTGATGTGTCCGAGGTCATTTGGTTGTTATTGAGGTGAAATTCACATAACATAAAATTAAACATTTTAAAGTGTCTGAGTGTTTTATTACATTCACAATGGTAAGCACCCACCACCTCTATCTAGTTCACGAACATTCCATCACCCCAAATGGAAGCCTCATCCCCATCAGCTGTCACTCCCCAGCCCCTCCCCACCCCTGACCCGCACACATTCGATTCCTGTCTCTGTGCATCAGCCTGTCTTGGACATGTCTTAGAAACGGGATCACACACTGCGTGGCCTGTCGTGCCTGGAGTCTCACTGAGCGTGACACCCTCGAGGTGCATGCAGGGTGTGGCCTGTGTCCAAGCCACACTCTCCTGTCCTCGCCGAAGGTGGCCATGCTGGGTTTATCCCTTGCTCCATCTGGAGACACTGGCTGTTTCCACCCTACAGCTCTTGTGATGAGCTGTGAAGTGTGTGTGCAACTGTTTGCTTTCCTGCTTTTTACGCCTTCGGGTGTATACCTGGGGTGAATCGCCAGATCCTATGGTAATTCTCTACTGAGCTTTACTTTTTTTTTGAGATGGAGTCTCACTCTGCCGCCCAGGCTGGAGTGCAGTGGTGTGATCTCAGCTCACTGTAACCTCCACCTCCCAGGTTCAGGTGATTCTCCTGCCTCAGCCTCCTGAGTAGCTGGGACTACAGGCACGTGCAACACCAAAGGTTCCAATTTCTCCACCTCCTCCCCAACACTTATTTTTCTTTGCCCTCCCCCCCCACCATACTTTTGGAAACAAGATTCCCAGTTCACTTTAGGGTGGAGGCACTTACCCTGCCTCAGCCCTGGAATTGGCTTTTTTTTATTTTTATTTTTTTGAGATGGACCTTTGCTCTTGTTGCCCAGGCTAGAGTGCAATGGTTCAATCTCGGCTCACCGCAACCTCCCCACTGCACTCCAGCCTGGGTGACACCAGTGAGACTGTGTCTGAAAAAATGAATAAGAATAGGAAAAGTGCCTGTCCTATGCCCTGGAACCTGCCGCTAAAGGGACTGTGAAAATGGGATGAGCTCTTCAGGCAGCAGGAAACCCCAGATTGTTTAGGTAGACCCAGTGTCCTTAGAAGCGGGGGAGCTTCTCCAGCTGGAGGCCTGGGGACACAGCAGCTAGACTCAGTCCTTGGACACGTGTCCCAGGCCGGCCCAGTCCTACCCCTGGGGGCGATGCTGTCAGGGAAGAGACTGAAAGGGGGTGGCCCACCCGCTTTCATTTCAGGGTCCCTCTGGCTGACAACAGGGAGTGGGCGATTCCACGGGAAGGTCTTGGGACTCTCCTGGCCAGAGATGGTGACTAGACTAGTGCATGCAGGGGAGCGGGGGGCTCAGATTCCTGGATTTTGAGGGGTCAGAAAGCTACTGGGTGGGTCGCGGTGGCTCACTCAGGCCTGTGGTCCCAGCACCTCGGGAGGCCGAGGTGGGAGGATTACCTGAAGTCAGGAGGAGTTCCAGTCCAGCCTGGCCAACAACGTGGTGAAACCCCGTCTCTACTGAAAATACAAACATTAGTTGGGCGCGATGGTGCGCACCTGTAACCCCAACTACTCGGGAGGCTGAGGCAGGAGAATCCCTTGGACCCGGGAGGTGGAGGCTGCGGTGAGCCGAGATCTCGCCACTGCACTCCAGCCTGGACGACACAGTGAGACCCCCGGGGGTGTCACTACGGGGGTGGGGGTGGCGTGCGGGGGTGGTCACGGAGGAAGCCCTTCGGATTTGGACGCCCGTAAAAAGCTCGGAAGCAATCCCAGCACTTTGGGAGGCCGAGGCGGGTGGATCACGAGGTCAAGAGATCGAGACCATCCCGGTCAACATGGTGAAACCCCGTCTCTGCTAAAAATTACAAAAAATTATCTGGGCATGATGGCGCGTGCCTGTAATCCCAGCTACTCGGGAGGCTGAGGCAGGAGAATTGCCTGAACCCAGAAGGCGGAGGTTGCGGTGAGCCGAGATGGCGCCATTGCGCTCCAGCCTGGGTAACAAGAGCGAAACTCCGTCTCTAAAAAAAAAAAAAAAGCTCGGAAGCTGGGAGACCAGGCGGACGGGGAAGTCGAGGTCCAGGCCATGGGCTAGGGTCCCCGAGACCGGGGCCGGAGAAAGGCCGAGGGGAAAGACCCCCACTGGTCCGAAAGCATCTCCCCGCGCAGGCGCCCCAGGCGGACGAGGGCGACCGGGCGCAGCGGAAGCGGCTGCCTGGGCTCCGGGTACCACTGCCCGGCATGGGCGGCTCGCGGGGTCCAGGGCGCAGGCGCGGGCGCCGCCGGAGGACCGGCATCTTGCCCACGCGATGATTGGCGCGGCCAGAGGGGGCGGGGCCTGGCGCCGCAGCTGCGCAGAACGGGGCCCCGCGCGGGCGGGTGGGCGGAGCGGGCCCCCCGAGCGGGGGCTGGCGAGCGCGGGGAGGGGGCCGAGAGGGCGGCAAAGCCGGCGCGCGCCCGGCTGGGGGCGGAGGGTGGGGGCCCGCGGGCCGGAACAGCCGCGGCAAGTGGCGGCGGCGGCAGAGGCAGCGGAGGCAGCTGAGGCGGCGGCGGCAAGCGGGGGTTCGGGCGGCGGCGGCGGGCCGAGGAGCCGGGCGCGATGGAGCGGAAGAGGTGGGAGTGCCCGGCGCTCCCGCAGGGCTGGGAGAGGGAAGAAGTGCCCAGAAGGTCGGGGCTGTCGGCTGGCCACAGGGATGTCTTTTACTATAGGTGAATGAGCGCGCCGGCCGCGCAGGGCCCCAACGGGCGCCTCCCAGCGGCCTCTGCGGCGGCCTCGGCGCCCCTGCCCTGGGCCGCGGCCTGGGCCCCGCGCGTGCGTCGTGCGTCTGTGCGTGCGTCCTGCGTGCGTGTCTGTCCCGCTCGCGGAGGCCCAGTGCGCGTGCGCCGCTTGCCGGGCCGCATGGCGTTCGGCAGGCCGGGGACTGGCTCCCGGGCAGCGGCGGCGGCCGCCTTTGTTCGTGCGCACTGGGCCAGGGGCGCCTGGCGGCGGCGAGACGCTGCTGGGAGGCAGGGGTGGGGGCTGGGCTGTCCCTTTGGTTCCCGAGAGACGCTGGGGGGGCCCTCCTTGGGGCGCTCCGGGGGTGGCCAGCCGGGGTTTCGGGGAGCGGGGCTCATGGCGGGATCGGGGAGGCCGTGCGTGCAGACTCGCGTTCCCAGGCTCACCGCAGTCCTGGGAATCAGCGCCTCAGAGTGACGGGGTCCCCGAGCAGCGTTGGTTTTCTTTTATTGTTTGTTTGTTTTGTAAGAGGGATTTACCCCCGACGTCTGAGGCCTCTGCCCCGCGTGGGTCGCGGCCCCTTCGGGGTGCAGACCTGAGGCTCCCGACCTGCTCACCCACATGACGGTGGTGTTTACGTGGGTGTTACTGGTGTTCCGAGGCTTTCAGAAACCCCCTCCCCAAACCGAAAAAAGTGCTGCTCAGGAAGGTCACCCGGAACCCCTTCTGCGGGACAAAGACCGCGGCCTCTGCAGCCGGGCCCCCGACGGTCGGCACCTGCTGTTTGTCTGCCCTTTTTTTTTTTTTTTTCCTGCTGGCTGGGGAAGGATGCTTTTGATTCTGAGCCAACCTTCACTGCGCCCTCCCCCTGGTTCAGTGTCCCGCGGCGCCTTCGGGTCGGTCCCCGAGGGGAAAGCGGACGCCTCCCCTGTGCCCAGCGCCTGGGTGAAAGGGGGTGTGCAGCCGGTCCCCGTTTTTCTCATAGCTCGGGGTCACGGGCCGGAGACCGCCCAGGTGAGGGCGAGTGGTTTTCTCCAGCCAAGGAACTGCAGTGGGCAGAACCAGCGCTCTGTCCGCTGGGCACTTAGGTCCCCTGTGGTTCTTGACTGTCCCGGTTTTGGGAGATAAAATGAGGAAAGAGCAGGGAAGGGATGGGTTTGATCAGAAGCAGTTGTGTGGGGGCCTCCTCCTGCGGGAGGCGCTCAGGGGCTGGTTCCTGGAAAGTGGGAGGACAGCAAGAGAGAGGCGGAACTTGGTCCCCGAATGTGCACCCTGATGAGCTGGAACCCTGTAACTGCAGGCAGTGGCATAGTGGGACTGCAAGCCGTGTCTCTTAGGCACAGAGTGGTGCATTCCCTTTTGGTCCCCAGCCCCTTCACTGGCTCTTTAGAAAGCCTGAAGCATTGCGGTTCTGTCCTCTGTCGTGGAGGAGGCCGGGGCCTGCCCCCTTGCTAACTACGAGCGCGGTTCTGGGCTTCCTTCTCCCGGAGGCTGCTGTAGAGTCCACAGCAGGTCTCTGTCGGCCTCTGCAGTCCTCTGTCAAAAACAGCACCGGGCACCTCCTGTTACAGCCGTGGGTACACGTGCTGAAATCTGGGAGGGCAGATGACAGGGGCCTGAGTGAGACTAGGGTGGTCAGGGAGGGGGCCTCTCTGAGGAGGTGACGTTGAATGGAGCAGGGAGAGGCATCCAGGCAGCAGGAACCCCCCAGGAGGTGGCTGCAGCTTGGGAGCTGGAACCAAGGCCAGCTTGAGCGGAGTGTCCCGAGGCTGTCGCCCCACCTCTCATCCCACTCTCCCTTCCCTGAGCGTGATGGTCTAGTTAGCAGTGGAGAAAAGCAGGAAAAAGCTCTCCTCTAAACAGACTGGAGAGATTCCAGGTTTCTCTGCAAAGGGTGAGCCCAGACTCAGCCCAGAGCCGCCCTCTGCAGGTCTGGGGCGTCCTCAACCCAGGCTTTCATCAGAGGCTTCAGGCTCCCAGGCTGAATGGTACGGGGACCTGGAAGTTGAGGCCATGGTGCCTACTGTTTTTCGATACGTGTGGTTGTAATCAAGGCTGCTCTTTTTTCATTGAATGTGAGGGACGTCTTTCTGTGTCAGTAGATCTGCCTAACCTTTATTAAAAATTGAGATATAGTTCACATTCCACAGAAGCTCCTTGAGACAGGGTCTCACCCAGGCTGGGGTGCAGTGGTGTGATCGGGGCTTACTTCATTCTCGACCTCCCAGGCTCAGGTGACCTTCTCAGCTCAGCCTCCCAAGTAGCTGGAATTACAGGCATGTGCTACCATGCCTGGCTTATTTTTTTATTTTTATTTTTTGAGACGGAGTTTCGCTCTTGTTACCCAGGCTTGAGTGCAATGGCGCGATCTCGGCTCACCGCAACCTCCGCCTCCTGGGTTCAGGCAATTCTCCTGCCTCAGCCTCCCGAGTAGCTGGGATTACAGGCACGCACCACCACGCCCAGCTAATTTTTGTATTTTTATAGAGACGGGGTTTCACCATGTTGACCAGGATGTTCTCGATCTCTTGACCTCGTGATCCACCCGCCTCGGCCTCCCAAAGTACTGGGATTACAGGCTTGAGCCACTGCGACCGGCCAGCCTGGCTTATTTTTATAGAGACCGAGTTTCACTGTGATGCCTAGACTGGTCTCAAACTCCTGGACTCAAGCAATTCACGTGGCTTGGCCTCCCTGGGCGACTGCCTGGCGAAAGCTACTCTTCTAAAATGTACAGTTTGGTGGGTAATTTGTTTTGAAATGGAGGGGGACTCTTTTTGCTCAGACTGCAGCCGAATGGGGCTCTCTTAGTACACAACGTCTGCCTCCTGGGTTCAAGAGATTCTCCTGCCTCAGCCTATCGAGTAGCTGGGCCTACAGGTGTCCACCACCACGTCCGGTTAGTTTTTGTATTTTTAGTAGAGATCGGGTTTCGCCATGTTGGCCAGGCTGGTCTCAAACTCCTAACCTCAGATGGTCAGCTCACCTCGGCCTCCCAGTGTGCTGGGATTACAAGCGTGAGCCACCACACCTGGCCACCAGTGGTTTTTAGTACATTCACAAGGCTGTGCAACCATCACCAGTAATTCCAGAACATTCTCATCATTCCCAAAAGCAGCTCTGTCCTCATTACGAGTCACTCACCTCCTCCCGCAGCACCTGGTAACTACGAATCCCGTTTACCTTGTGTTTACTTTATTTATTTATGTTTTGAGACAGTCTCACTCTGTCGCCAGGCTGAAGTGCAGTGGCGCAATCTCAGCTCACTGCAACCGCCACCTCCCGGGTTTAAGGGATTCTCCTGCCTCGGCCTCCCAGGTAGTAGCTGGGACTACACTACAGGCATGTGCCACCACACCCGGCCTCTTTTTTTTTTTTTTTTTTGAGACAGGGTCTTGTTTTTGTCACCCAGGCTAGAATGCAGTGGTACAGTCATAGGTCACTGTATCCTTGACCTCCTGGACTCAAGCGGTCCTCCCTCCTCAGCTTCCGGAGTAGATGGGACCACAGGCATGTGCCACCATGCCTGGTTAATTTTTATTTTATTTATTTATTTTGAGAGGGAGTCTCACTCTGTCACCCAGGCTGGAGTGCAGTGGCGTGATCTTGGCTCACTGCAAACTCCGCCTCCTGGGTTCAAGGGATTCCCCTGCCTCAGCCTCCTATCTGGGATTACAGGCCCCTGCTACCACCTCCAGCTAATTTTTTCATTTTTAGTAGAAACAGGGTTTCACTGTGTTGGCCAGGCTGGTCTCGAACTCCTGAGCTCAGGTGAGCTGTCGGGCTTGGCCTCCCAAAGTGCTGGGATTACAGGCAAGAGCCATTGTGCCCGCGCTCTGTTTTTTTTTTGTTTTTTTTTTTTAAGTGGTGGGTCTTACTTTGTTGCCCAGCCTGGACTCGAACTCCTGAGCTCAAGCAGTCCTCCTGTCTCAGCCTCCCGGAGTGCTGGGATTGCAGGCATGAGGTATTGCGCTTACTCTGTTTGAGACAGTCCGTGTACCACAGCGTCATTTAAAGTGCCCGACTCAGTGGGTTTTAGCATTTTCGCGGATTTACAGATAGGTGCAGCTATCCTGAGTCGGCTACGGAGTTTCCATCGCCCCAGAAAGAACCCCGGGCCCATTTCCCTCCCACTGCCTTGTATGCCCACCCCCAGCTCTTGTTCACCTCCATCTGAAAAGGCAGAACAGCCTCTCTTTGGGGTGACCGGAGGCAGAGAACTGCTGGGAGTGTTTTGTGGGGTCTCTTCTTCCTGGTGGCTACGTGAGGCCTGAGTCAGGGCCTGGGGCTTCTTGGTCTCTTTCCACTGCCCTGGGCAAACCTCGGGTTTAATAACGTCAGCCAGCCCGCCCGCGCAGTAATTAGAAAAGGAACTCTCCAGAAGGAGCCCTCAGTGGTTTCGGACCCCCAGGCACTTGTCCTTGTCCCTCCCGGTGGTGCCCTGTCCCAGTGGACGTGCTAGAGCCCGCCGTGTCCTTGTGTACCAAGGAATTTCCCGTGGTGAGGGGGCGGGGGTGGAGAGAAGTAGAACTTCCTGAGACCTGCGTATCAGCCTCGTCCGTGGGTCCTGGACGGAGGCCGTGGAGCTAAGCATGTGACCACATACTTCTGTGCGGTGCCTGCAGAATCGAGTTTCCTTCTGGCTAGAAGAGATTCTCAGCTGTCTTGGTTGTCTGGCATCTGACGTCTACCATGGGCCAAGATGCCTGGGGCAGGGGCAGAGGAGGACAGGAGGAGCCTGCCCTGGAGGGTTCTGGGAAACCAGCAACACAGAGCCATCCGCCAGGCTCAGGCGGGTGCATTGTCACTCAGTGACTTTTGACCGAGTTGAGAATGTGCTTACGGTACCTGGCCTCCTAAGCACCGGACAGCTGCTTATTTCTGCATCATCTTCTTGAGGTAAACTAGCCAGGCTCACACCTGTAACCCCTTTGGGAGGGGACGCAGGAGGATCTCGAGATCCGAAGGTGGAGACCAACCTGGGCAACACAGCGGGGCCCCATCTCTGCAAAAAATTGAAAAATTAGCTGGACATGGCTGGGCACCACGGCTCATGCCTGTAATCCTCACGCTTGTGAGGCTGAGGCAGGTGGATCACCTGACATCGAGTGTTCGAGACCAGACTTGGCCAACATGGTGAAACTCTGTCTCTACTAAAAATAACAAAAATTAGCCGGGCATTGTGGCAGGTGCCTGTATCCCCAGCTACTTGGGAGGCTGAGGCAGCAGAACTGCTTGGACCTGGGAGGCGGAGGCTGCAGGGAGCCAAGATGGTGCCACTGCACTCCAGCCTGGGCGACAGAGCGAGACTCCATCTCAAAAAAATAAATGAAATAAAAATGAGCTGGGCGTGATGGTGCGCCCTTGTAGTCCCAGCTACTCGGGAGGCTGAGGCAGCTATCCCTGAGCCCAGGAGGTCATGGCTGCAGTGCGCTCTGACCACACCACTGCACTCCAGCCTGGGCAACGAGAGGAGACCCTGTCTCTAAAAGAAAAATGGAAAGAAAAGAAAGAAATGAATCGTCAGGGTGGGTGCTCATACCTGTAATCCCAATGCTTTGGGAGGCAAGGAGGGAGGCTTGCCTGAGCTCAGGCGTCCCAGACCAGCCTGGACAGCATAGTGAGACCCCATCTCTATAGAATATATATATAAATTAGGCTGGGCATGGTGGCTCACACTTGTAATCCCAGCATTTTGGGAGGCCGAGGTGGACAGATCACCTGGGGTCAGGAGTTGGCAACTGGCCTGGCCATATTGGCCAGGGGTGAAACCCTGTCTCTACTAAAAGTACAAAATATTAGCCAGGCGTGGTGGTGGGCACCTGTAATCCCAGCTACTCAGGAGGCTGAGGCAGGAGAATCACTTGAACCTGAAGGCGGAGGTTGCAGTGAGCAGGGATCACACCACTTCACTCCAGGCTGGGCAACAGAGCGAGACTCCATCTCAAAAATATATATATGTATGTATGTATGTATAAAAGCCGTGTGTATGTATGTACGCATGTATAAAAGCCGCGTGTGTGTATGTATGCATGTATAAAAGCCGTGTGTATGTATGTATGCATGTATAAAAGCCGTGTGTATGTATGTATGTACACATGTATAAAAGCCGTGTGTATGTATGTATGTACGCATGTATAAAAGCCGTGTGTGTGTATGTATGTATGCATGTATAAAGCCGTATGTATGTATGTACGCATGTATAAAAGCCGTGTGTATGTATGTATGTACGCATGTATAAAAGCCGTGTGTATGTATGTATGTATGCATGTATAAAAGCCGTGTGTATGTATGTATGTACACATGTATAAAAGCCGTGTGTATGTATGTATGTACGCATGTATAAAAGCCGTGTGTGTATGTATGTATGCATGTATAAAAGCCGTATGTATGTATGTACGCATGTATAAAAGCCGTGTGTATGTATGTATGTACGCATGTATAAAAGCCGTGTGTGTGTATGTATGTATGCATGTATAAAAGCCGTGTGTATGTATGTACGCATGTATAAAAGCCGCGTGTGTGTATGTATGCATGTATAAAAGCCGTGTGTATGTATGTATGCATGTATAAAAGCCGTGTGTATGTGTGTATGTATGCATGTATAAAAGCCGTGTGTATGTATGCATGCATGTATAAAAGCCGTGTGTATGTATGCATGCATGTATAAAAGCCGTGTATATGTATGTATGCATGTATAAAAGCCGTGTGTATGTATGTATGTATGCATGTATAAAAGCCGTGTGTATGTATGTATGCATGTATAAAAGCCGTGTGTATGTGTGTATGTATGCATGTATAAAAGCCGTGTGTATGTATGCATGCATGCATGTATAAAAGCCGTGTGTATGTATGTATGTATGCATGTATAAAAGCCGTGTGTGTGTATGTATGTATGCATGTATAAAAGCCGTGTGTATGTATGTATGCATGTATAAAAGCCGTGTGTATGTATGTATGCATGTATAAAAGCCGTGCGTGGTGGCTCGTGCCTGTCTCCCAGCACTTGGGAGGCTAAGGTGGAAGGATCACCCTCGCCCAGGAGTTCAGGGTTGCAGTGAGCTGTGATTGAGCCGCTGCCTTCCAGCCTGGGCGACAATGAGAACCAGTCTCCAGAAAGAATAGAGATGAAGCTCCGTGCATGTGAGCAGCCCCTGCACATCCTCACCCCAGCCCCTGGCACTGCATCCCTTTCCTGTCTGAATTATGCTGTTGTAGACCTTTTTTTTTTTTGAGACAAAGTTTCGCTCTTGTTGCCCAGGCTGGAGTGCAATGGCGTGATCTCGGCCCACCGCAACCTCTGCCTCCCTAGTTCATGTGATTCTCCTGCCTCAGCCTCCCAAGTAGCTGGGATTAGAGGTTCACACCACCACACCCGGCTCAGGTTTTGTATTTTTCGTAGAGACAGGGTTTCTCCATGTTGATCAGCCTGGTCTTGAACTCCCGACCTCAGGTCACCCACCCGCCTTGGACTCCCAAAGTGCTAGGATTACAAGCGTGAGCCACCTCGCCCTGTTCTAGACATTTCATAGAAATGGGATCACACACTGTGTGGCCTTCTGTGTCTGGCGTCCCTCACTGAGCATGACGTCCTCAAGGTTCATCCACACTGGCCTGTCTCAGAGTGTTGCTCCTTTTCATGGCTGAGTAATATTCCACTGTGTGGATGGGCCATGTTGCATTGGTCCGTTCATGTGCTGAGAGCGTCTGGGCTGCCTCCACCTTCTGGCTGCCATGGTAGGGCTCTTGGGGACTTTGTGTAGAGCTGATGGTGTGGATGTGTGCCCTCATTTCTCTCGGGCAGATACCTAAGACTAGCATAGCTGGGTCATCCGCAGATTTGCTGGGGAGCTGCCAGGCTTTCCCAACATGGCTGTTCCATTTTACATCCCAGCCATGATGGCGATGTGTTGGGTTGGGTGCCTGGCATCTTGTAGCGTGACCATATGGGGCACGCAGGGCATCCTGTAGGTGGCTGCCCTCATTTCCTGGAGAGCACGAGTTGCTAGCGCTTGTCTGCGGCAGGCTGAGAGCAGAGCCCTGTGTCCAGGTCTGTGCGTGCCCGGCTGCCTCTCTGCAAGCTCCACCCCGGGTTATGTGCAAGCAGCTGTTGGGGCCTGGCCCAAACGTTAGAACGAGGCCCCTTCCTAGCCTGGCCTTGCCGCTGGAACCTGGAGGTGGAAGGAGATTGATCTTACAGCTGTCACTCACATACCTGTTCTCTGTGGGGTCTTTTCCTAAGACTGTGACCCAAATTCCGTCTCTAGAATGTTCTGGAAATGTGAGGCATCCTCCCAGAGCCGGGGCCCATCCTCCTGTAGGTAATGGCGTTTGTTCCAGAACTCACAGTGTCTGCTGTGCCTGATATGCCAGGGCCTGGGGTGGGTATGATTGGAGGGTACCAGGATGGGGGGGCTGGGGCAAGGATCGGTGTGGAGTCTGGGGCCGGCGCCCGTATTTGGGGGCCAATTTTGGAGTCTGGAGGTCAGGGTTGGGGTCTGGGACTGGGGCCAAGGCCTGGGTCTGGGGTCCGCCGGGGCCCGACCGTCCTGCCTCTCCGCAGCCCGAGCGGGAAGAAGTTCCGCAGCAAGCCGCAGCTGGCGCGCTACCTGGGCGGCTCCATGGACCTGAGCACCTTTGACTTCCGCACCGGGAAGATGCTGATGAGCAGGATGAACAAGAGCCGCCAGCGCGTGCGCTACGACTCCTCCAACCAGGTCAAGGTGAGCGGTGGCGTCATGCGGGTGACGTCAGCGCAGGGCGTTTTAGGCGGGGACGCGGCCATGACGCGAGCGGCAGGCGACGGAGCGCGCGCGCGAGGTCACAGCGGGCAGAGGACACGGGGCGCGGGGCGGAGGCTGCAGAGCAGAAGGCGCCGGGCACAGAGCGCTGCGCGCATGGCGAGGACGCGACCCGCGACGGGGGCTCTGGAGGAGCTGGCCGGGCCCAGCCTGCGAGAGCGGCCTCCCCGGAGCGTGGGGGTCCTGGGGGACGCGAGGGGCGCCCGCAAGGCGGGGGGTCGTCCGGGCCCCACGTCCCTGGAGGCTCTGAGCCGCCGGGGAGACCCCAGGCCGGGCTGCAGCGCCTTCCTCCCGCAGGGCAAGCCCGACCTGAACACGGCGCTTCCCGTGCGCCAGACGGCGTCCATCTTCAAGCAGCCGGTGACCAAGATTACCAACCACCCCAGCAACAAGGTCAAGAGCGACCCGCAGAAGGCGGTGGACCAGCCGCGCCAGGTGAGCCAGCGCACGGCGACCCCAGCCTTCCCGGCCAGCTCTTCGCCTTGGTGGGTGGACGTTTGGAATCAGATCGTACTTGGAGCGGACGAATGGAGCGCAGGAGTTCCAAGCCAGCCTGGGCACCACGGGAGGCAGAAACATGAAAACATTAGCTGGACGTGGTGGCGCTGGCCTGTGGTCCCTGCTCCTGAGGAGGCTGAGATGGGAGGATTGCTTGAGCCTAGGAGGCTAAGGCTGCAGTGAGCTGTGATCACACCACTGCTCTCCAGCCTGGGTGACAGCAAGAACCAATCTGTGGGCCCCCCTTGGGATGCGCAGGGAATTAGTTCAGAACACACCCCACCCTCTTTGGTATCCCCAGATACCAAACTCCGGGGATGATCAGCCTCTCATAGAAAATGCTCTAGCATGGCGGGCGGTGGCTCGCGCCTGTAATCCCAGCACTTTGGGAGGTCAAGGCAAGCAGATCACCTGAGTTCAGGAACTCGAGACCAGCCTGACCAACACGGCCAAACCCCGTCTCTACTAAAAATACAAAAATTAAGTGGGCACGGTGGTGCGTGCCTGTAATCCCAGCACTTTGGGAGACTGAGGCAGGCGGATCCGAGTAGACCAGCCTGACCGACGTGGTGAAACCCTGTCTCTACTAAAAGTAGGAAAATTAGCCGGGTGTGGTGGTGTGTGCCTGTAATCCCAGCTACTCAGGAGGCCGACAGAGGAGGGTCACTTGAACCTGGGTGGAGGAGGTTGCAGTGAGCCGAGATCGTGCCACCGCACTCCAGCCTGGGCGACAGAGCAAGACTGTCTCAGAAATGAAATTTAAAAACTTTTTAATGGAAATGGTCTGGTATTTGCATGTAACCTGCAGGTGTCATGTAGATTCCTGATACTCCTGCATACGGTGTCCATGGTTGTGACACTCCCTGTTTTGTGTGTGTCTTATTAGATTTTTTAATTTTTGGCTTTTGGGACAGGGTCTCTCTGTGTTGCCCAGGCTGGTCTCAAGCTCCTGCTGTCAGTCAGGTGATCCTCCCACCTCCGCCTCCCTAGTTGTGGGAATTACAGGCGTGAGCTACCCCATGTGTAGGTTTTATTCTTTTTTTTTTTTTTTTTTTTTTTTGAGATGGAGTTTTGCTCTTGTTACCCAGGCTGGAGTACAATGGCGCGATTTCGGCTCACCGCAACCTCCGCCTCCTGGGTTCAGGCAATTCTCCTGCCTCCAGGCAATTCTCCTGCCTCAGCCTCCCGAGTAGCTGGGATTATAGGCACGCACCACCGTGCCCAGCTAATTTTTTGTATTTTTAGTAGAGACGGGGTTTCACCATTTTGACCGGGATGGTCTCGATCTCTTGACCTCGTGATCCACTGGATACCAGGCTGTGGAAATCCTGGGCAGGAGCAGGAGGCCCAAGGCCCTGGGAGGCAAGAGGCCCGTGGGGACCCACCTGGGGAAGGAGGCCAGGTGGGCCTCCATAGAGTCCTTCGAGGCCCTGGAAGGGGGAGGGGCGGGGCTGCCCTTGGGGTTCATATGTATGTCTGGGGCAGCTCTTCTGGGAGAAGAAGCTGAGCGGCCTGAACGCCTTCGACATTGCTGAGGAGCTAGTCAAGACCATGGACCTCCCCAAGGGCCTGCAGGGTGAGCGGGCACCCCACGGGGGGGGGCCAGAAGGGGACGGGCTGGGTGGGGTGGAGTCCTGGGGGCACCCTCATCTTCTAGCAAGGTGAAGGGCTGTTCATGATGCGGGCACTGAGGGCAAATCTTCCTGTGGCTGGGCTGGGAGGAGGGGCCCCAGGGCACCTGGGCTGGGCCCTTCATACTTGGAGACTTGTGGTGGGGCAGGAGGAGGGGCCCGGGGTGCCTGGCTGGGCCCTTCATATTTGGAGACCCTGTGGGAGGGGCAGGAGGAGGGGCCCGGGGTGCCTGGCTGGGCCCTTCATATTTGGAGACCCTGTGGGTGGGGCAGGAGGAGGGGCCCGGGGTGCCTGGCTGGGCCCTTCATACTTGAAGACCCTGCGTGGGGCTCTGTGGCCTCCAGGTGCAGTGCACGCCCAGGGGCGTTTTGACCTGGATCCTAAGAAAACAAGGAGGGCTGGTTTTGCCCCTGCACAGAACAAGGAATGCGGAGCTGGTGTGGTTCGGCGGTTTTTTAGAGACCAGGCCGGCTGGGTGCAGTGGCTGACGCCTGTAATTCAGCACTTCAGGAGGCTGAGGCAGGAGTATCACGAGCTCGGAGGTTCAAGACCAGCTGGGGCAGCACAGTGAGACCCTACCTCTGCATCCCTACAGAAAATGCAGAGCAAGAGCCTGTCTCAAAAAACAAAAGGTGGGCTTTCCGTCGCCCAGGCTGGAGCTCGGCGGTGCCGTCACTGCTCACAGCCTCCCGGGCTCAAGTGGTTCTCTCAGCTCAGCCTCCTGAGTAGCTGGGACCGCGCAGCGCCACACCCGGCTGATGTTTTCGTTGTTGTGTGGGGATGGGGATCTCACTGTGTTGTCCAGGCCGGCCTCCAGCTCCTCAGCGCATCGGTCCTCCCGCCTCGCCCTCCCAAATGCTGGGGTTGCAGGCGCGAGCCGCCGTGCCCACCTAGCTTGCTCTGCTTCTGTTAGGAAAGTGATGAGGCCCGCGTGAGGGGAAGTGGAGGCGTGACGCTGGTCGGGGAGAAGGGGCAGCTCCGTCCTGGGGCATCCGTGGCCTGTCTGGGTCACAGCTGTGACCTCTCCCCTCGTGGCTGCCTTTCCACTGCCTGGCAGGGGTGGGACCCGGCTGCACGGACGAGACGCTGCTGTCGGCCATCGCCAGCGCCCTGCACACGAGCACCATGCCCATCACCGGGCAGCTGTCGGCCGCCGTGGAGAAGAACCCTGGCGTGTGGCTCAACACCACGCAGCCCCTGTGCAAAGCCTTCATGGTGACCGACGAGGACATCAGGTAGCCCCTGGCCCCCGTGTACTTCCTGTCTCCCCACGACTCTCCCATCTCTGTGGATGCTGCCGGGGTTTTTTGAAACAGGAGTAGCTGGGGCAAGGGGACCCATCGTCAGAGCTGGTGTGAACCCGTGTCCTCGGGCCAGGGTGAGCCGGCCACCTCTCGAAGGCATGTTCTTGAAAAGAGTGTGAAGCCAGGTGCTGTGGCTCACACCCGTCATCCCAGCACTTTGAGAGGCTGAGGCAGGCAGATCACTTGGTCAGTGGTTCGAGACCAGCCTGACCAGCATGGCGAAACCCCATGTTTGCTTAAAATACAAAAATGAGCCAGGCATGGTGGTGCATGTCTGTGGTCCCAGCTACTTGGGAGGCTGGGGCAGGAGAATCGCTTGAACCTGGGAGATGGAGGTTGCAGTGAGCTGAGATCCTGCCGCTGCACTCCAGCCCGGGTGACAGTGATTCTCCGACTCAAAAAACAATGAAAAAAGCAAAGATTGTGGTCCTGGGAGTCCACAGGGACTGGCTGTGCTGGGTGCTGGGCTCCATGCTGGGCCCTGGGGACGGGGGGACAAGGCAGGCCAGGCTTCTGCCTTTGGGGAGATGGCTTGGGGTGCCCACGGAGGGACAGTTCCGGCGGCAGTGGCCGGCCTGCGGAGCCTGGAACAGGCAGGATGGTGGGGGGTGAGCTGAGCTGTGAGGTGGGGGTGCCCGGGGTGAGCCCTAATGCAGGGCTTCATGGCCGAACTGGAGTGTGGTGTGCGGGGTGGCCGCAAGGCCCCTGGTGACGGAGGCGCCTGCAGGAAGCCCTGGAGTGCTGAAGAGAAGACGGGCTTTCCTCGGTCAACCCAGCACACGGCGGAGGTCAGAGAAGGAAAGGGAACTCCTGAGGGCTCCAGAAATGGGGAACTAAGACCCGGAGCGGCCAGGGAGGCGCTGGGCACGGGGGCACAAGGAGAGGAGACTCTGTGCCCCAGGCAGGACGAAGACGCAAGGAGACAGCGTGGGCGCCGGGGGTTCCGTGCGAGCGGCTGGCGGCAGCCTCCTCCAGCCGTGGTACCTCTGGGCCCCTCATTTGGGTTTGAGGTCAATTTACACTCTACACACTCAGGGAACTTCCCCAAAATGACGAAGAATTGACAAGAAAAGAACAAGACTGAGGAACAGCAGGCAGATGATTAAAAGCCCCAGGCTGAGCACAGGCTCACACCTGTAATCCCGGCACTTTGGGGGGCCAAGGTGGGAGCATCACCGGAGATCGGGAGTTCGAGACCAGCCTGGCCAATGTGGTGAACTGTCTCTACTAAAAAAAAAAAAAAAAAAAAAAAAAAAGCAGTAATTATCCGGGTGTGTCGGTGCACAGCTGCAGTCCCAACTCTTGGGAGGCTGAGGCAGGAGAATCTCGGGAACTCGGGAGGCAGAGGCTGCAGTGAGTGGAGATCGCACCAGTGCACTCCAACCTGGGTGACAGAGACCCTGTCTTTAAAAAAAAAGAAAGGGGCCGGGCACGGGGGCTCACGCCTGTCATCCCAGCACTTTGGGAGGCCGAGGCAGGTGGATCACGAGGTCAAGAGATCGAGACCATCCTGGTCAACATGGTGAAACCCCGTCTCTACTAAAAATACAAAAAATTAGCTGGGCATGGTGGCGCGTGCCTGTAGTCCCAGCTACTCGGGAGGCCGAGGCAGGAGAATTGCCTGAACCCAGGAGGCGGAGGTTGCGGTGAGCCGAGATCACACCATTGCACTCCAGCCTGAGTAACAAGAGCGAAACTCCATCTCAAAAAATAAAAAAGGAAGAAAGCTAGAGTCACGGTGGCTCATGCCTATAATCCCAGCACTTTGGGAGGGTGAGGTGGGTGGATCACGAGGTCAGGAGATCGAGGCCATCCTGGCCAAAACAGTGAAACCCCATCTCTACTAAAAATACAGAAAATTAGCCTGGCATGGTGGCGCGTGCCTGTAGTCTCAGCTACTCGGGAGGCTGAGGCAGAAAACATTGCTTGAACCTGGGATACAGAGGCCGCAGTGAGCTGAAATTGTGCCACTGCACTCCAGCCTGGGTGACGGAGTGAGACTCTGTCTCAAAAAGAAAAAAAAAACTTGTAGAAATTGAAAAGGGCATTGAAATTTGGAACTCCGTGGTGGGGTGAGCAGAAGGTGGAGTCCTTTCTGGAAGGACAGCAAGCAGGTGGTGGCTGCAGTGGGGTCGGTGAGCCAGGGTGTTGTGGGTGGCAGGGACAGCCCCGGTACAGAGGAGCCACTGGAGGGAGACCCCAGGCAGGAGGGCGTGGCTGAGCCTTGGCCACAACTGGGGACATACACAGAATCAGCCTCACCTGGGAGTGAAAGCAGAACAGAGACAAGAAAGGGTCTTTGGGCAGCTGGGGAGGGAGGCAGGCAGAGCCGGTCACCCCGGGAGTCGCTGGCATCAGCTTGTAATCCTGAAGGTGGAGGCCCCCTGGTGCGGTCCCTGCTGGTGGGTGGGACATGGGTTTCTTTTTTGTTTTTTTGAGATGGAGTCTTACTCTGTCGCCCGGGCTAGAGTGCAGTCACTGCAACCTCCGCCTCCTGGGTTCAATCGATGCTCCTGGCTCAGCCTCCCAAGGAGCTGGGACTACAGCCACCACACCCAGCCCATGTTGGCCAGGCTGGTCTTGAACTCCTGACCTCAGGTGATCCGCCCACCTTGGCCTCCCAGAATGCCGGGATGACAGGCGTGAGCCACTGCGCCCTGGTGAGGCTTTTCCTGCCCCACTCTGCCTGTTGGGGGCCAGGGGCAAGTGTTTATGCCGCTGAGCCTGGGGAGGCCCAGGGCCTGGTCTGGAGACTGAGGGGTGGGGCCCCTCCCTTGGCCCCAAGAGAGGTGGCAGGTGGGCCATACAGGAGGATGGCGGATGCTATCACTGGCCTGTGGCAGCCAGTTATTCTCTTGATAGTGAAGGGAGGGGCACTGCGGATTCCTCAGCTTCTCCGCCCAGCCGAGGGCCCCTCCCCTCACTCATTCTGAGTCCGCATCCTCCTGGCCGCTGGCCTGGGTGTGACACGATGTCCCCGTGTCCCCAGGAAGCAGGAGGAGCTAGTGCAGCAGGTGCGGAAGCGGCTGGAGGAGGCGCTGATGGCCGACATGCTGGCGCACGTGGAGGAGCTGTCGAGAGACGGCGAGGCTCCGCTGGACAAGGCCTGCACTGAGGATGACGAGGAGGACGAGGACGAGGAGGAGGAGGAGCCGGACCCGGACCCGGAGATGGAGCACGTCTAGGGCAGGCGCTGCGGACCTCGGGGACTGCCTGGAGTCGCCCTGCACTGGAGCTGCCTGCCACACATGGAGTGCCCCGTCTCCCCAGAAGAGCCCAGGCGTCCCCGTCCTGTGGAGTCGCTAAAGCCAGCCCTCCCTGTCCTTTCAGAAGCCCTGCCAAGAGCCCGTGCTGTGAGAGCCGCCTGCCGTTGTGGCCCTCGGTCCCACGTGGACCCGGCTCAGGGCCCTGGGGACGCCTGTGAGGAAGGCTGTGCTCCTGGCTCCCTCCTTGGCTGTCTTCCCTTCTCCGGGCCTCGGGGCACACAGCTGGGGCTGCCTCACCCGAAAGACCCTCCCTGCTCCCGTCTAAAGGGCCCAGGTCCCTCCTGGCTCCCCATGACCTCAGGGCTTGAGGCCAGCTCCTCCCACGGCTGCTGCCCCCAGCTCCTTGAGACTGGAATGTGGACACCCGGGAGGGTTTCTCAGTCTGAAGGCGTGGTTTTGAAGCGCACATCACCCGCCGTGCGGCAGGAGGACGGGACTCTGGTCCTCTGTAGGGGATGTCCAGGACGGCGCCACCCTCTGCCCTGCCACGCAGCTGCGGCACCACAGACCCTCACAGGCCAAATGGCACGCCCGGGAGTCCATGCTCCTTCAGTCAATCTGTGACCGTCAAGGCCGGACGTGCACATCACCAGGCGGCCTCTCTGCTGCCACAGGGACGCCAGCTGCTGCCAGCCCCCTGCCTCAGTTTCCCTTGTGTGATGGGAACACAGGCACCCAGCTTTGAGGTGGTGCTGACGCTCCCAGGGTGTCAGGAGACACTTGGACAGGTCAGGTCTCCCAGGTGCTTACTGAGGTGCCCAGGTCTCTGGGGAGCTTCTGGTCTGAGGCCGTCTGAAGGGACTGACGTGCTCCTGATGCCCCCAGTGCCTCGGCGAGGGCAGGTTCCAGGCTGCGGGGGCCTGAACCCTGGGCTCCTAGTAGGGGGAATGGTTCATTACCTGCATTGACCTTAGGCCCGTCGAGAGGGCCTGTCCTGGCTCTGCCCCACCCGGGATCTGGGATCTGGTCGCTGCCTGGGGCAGACTGATGGGCAGAGTCAGTGTCTGGGCTGTGACCCCTAATGGTGCCTGACTGTGGGGGCCAAGGAAGTGCCCGTTGGGAGCCAGGCTCGCCACTCTGCCAGGTGCCCTGCAAGGACAACCACACGGCAGTGGGCTGGCGGCGGCTTGCTGCTCCTTGTCACACTCAAAGCACAAGTTTTCGGGATGGGCTCAAGGGCTGGGCCCCCAAGGGACCCTCTAGGTGGGGACTGAGTCTTCCTGGGGTTGGTGCCCTCTGGCCGGGACCCTTTGCCAGCCCGAGGTCCTCAGGTGCTGTGGTGGGGTGGCCTCCCCTCTGTCTGCCTGGTGGATGGAGCTGTGGGCGTGGGCACGTGACTGAATAAAGCCACCTTGGGATGTGCTTGGAGCCTGGAGTGGTGCATCCGCCACCTGCTGAATGATGAGAGGCTGACGGCCCGGCCGTTCCTGACCCCATACTCACACAGAGCAGGCTTGGGGTGTCAGGGAAGCCTGGGCCGGTCCCGGCGTCTGTGGGTGAGGGCCATGCCTCCCGAGCTGCCACCAGCTTGGCCTGGGCACTGTGGGTGTGGGCCTTGCTGCCCAGGTCAGGACAGTGGGCAGGGCTCAGACCCAGCACGGCTCCTTCCAGTGAAGCAGGAGGGGCTGCCCAGACGCAAGCACCTCAGGTCCGCACCGCCACTGCGGGAGGGGAGCTGGGCCCCAGGGCGCCTGGGGTTCCGTTCAGCAGCCAAGGCCAGTGAGAGCTGCTTTCTAGACCTGAAGCCTGGGAGGCCGCCCTCCCCTCACCTGCGTCTCCCTGCCCTCCCCTCACCTGCGTCTCCCTGCCCTCCCCTCACCTGCCTGGCCGCCCTCCCCTCACCTGCGTCTCCCTGCCCTCCCCTCACCTGCCTGGCCGCCCTCCCCTCACCTGCCTGGCCGCCCTCCCCTCACCTGCCTGGCCACCCTCCCCTCACCTGCCTGGCCGCCCTCCCCTCACCTGCGTCTCCCTGCCCTCCCCTCACCTGCCTGGCCGCCCTCCCCTCACCTGCCTGGCCGCCCTCCCCTCACCTGCGTCTCCCTGCCCTCCCCTCACCTGCCTGGCCGCCCTCCCCTCACCTGCGTCTCCCTGCCCTCCCCTCACCTGCGTCTCCCTGCCCTCCCCTCACCTGCGTCTCCCTGCCCTCCCCTCACCTGCCTGGCCGCCCTCCCCTCACCTGCGTCTCCCTGCCCTCCCCTCACCTGCCTGGCCGCCCTCCCCTCACCTGCGTCTCCCTGCCCTCCCCTCACCTGCCTGGCCGCCCTCCCCTCACCTGCGTCTCCCTGCCCTCCCCTCACCTGCGTCTCCCTGCCCTCCCCTCACCTGCCTGGCCGCCCTCCCCTCACCTGCCTGGCCGCCTGGGTGTCTCCCTGCCCCCGGGACACCAGGGGCCCTCCAGCTCTCCTCCCTTTTCCCTCTGTCTCTTGCTCTCTCCCTGTCTCCATCTCTGTCTCTCCTGATCTTTCTCTGTCTCCCTCTGTCTCTGTCTTGTCTCTCCCTCTGCCTCAGCCCAGCTTCCTGTCTCTGACAGGCCCCGATTGGCCCCTCTGGTCCTGGGGTTCTGGCAACCAGCTGGCCTTGGTCAGAGATGTGAGAGCCCCACCCCTCCCCGCCGGAAGCCTGTCCAGGCCCTGGGCCAATGCTGTGGCTGAAGCGTGAGGGACCTTTCCTCTCCCTGAAACCTTGGGGTCCCCCGCAGGCCGGGGTGATGCTAGCCCATGCTGGAGCCTTGCCCAGCAAGAAGTGAGTTGTGGGTGTGGGTCCCCAGTGCCCCGGCCCCCCTCAAATTCCTGCCCTGGAGAAGCCTCACAGACCCTCTGGCTGGATCTGCCTGGTGCACTGAGGCCCCGAACTCCAGCCCCCAAACCCAGACCTGGTCCTGGGTGGGGTAACCTGAGCCCCCAGCGCCGGGATCATTCACGGGGACCTCGTGACCGGTCACCTTGCCGCCTATGTCTCAGCCCCAGGACTTTCTGGGACTCTTTTACGACGGTTTCTGTTGCTTGGGCTGCGGTGCAGCGGCATGATCCTGGTTCACGGCAACCCCCACCTCCTGGGTTCAGGCGACTCTCCTGCCTCAGCCTTCCAAGTAGCCACCATGCCCAGCTAATTTTTGTATTTTTAGTAGAGATGGGGATTCACCAGGCCGGTCAGGCTGGTCTCGAACTCCTGACCTCAGGTGATCCGCCTGCCTCAGCTTCCCGGTGCTGGGATCACAGGTGTGACCCACCGAGTCCATCCGGCCCTCCTGTACAGCAGCAGCAAGAGCCCTATGTGTCCAGGGCCTCCCCTCAAACCAAGCTCCCCGCCCCCACCCGGAGGCCCCGCAGAGGGCACAGGAGGAGAGGCCTCAGGCCCCTGTGACAAAGCTGCACCTCTCAGCCCTGGGCTCAGCCACATGGACCCACCGGGCTCCTGAGTCTCCTTCAGCGACTTCAACTCTGGGGCATCATGCCCCTCTGCCAGGCCCAGGGCCTCCACCTTGCTGTCCCTGCAGCCCCCAGCCCCAGGCAGGCAGGGACAGCCCTTCCCACCTCCACACACCTCCCCACCCCTGAAGGCCCTTCCCACCTCCCCACAGCCCTGAGGGCCCTTCCCACACCCGACACCTCTGACGGCCCTTCCCACCTCCCCACAACCCCCCCACCCCTGAAGGCCCTCCCCACACCTCCCCCACCCCCAAAGGCCCTTCCCACCTCCCCCCACCCCTGAAGGCCCTTCCCACACACCCCCCGCCGTGGCCCTTCCCACCTCCCCACACCCACTCCCACCCCTGAAGGCCCTTCCCACCTCCCCACACCCACTCCCACCCCTGAAGGCCCTTCCCACCTCCCCACACCCACTCCCACCCCTGAAGGCCCTTCCCACCTCCCCACACCCACTCCCACCCCTGAAGGCCCTTCCCACCTCCCCACACCCACTCCCACCCCTGAAGGCCCTTCCCACCTCCCCACACCCACTCCCACCCCTGAAGGCCCTTCCCACCTCCCCACACCCACTCCCACCCCTGAAGGCCCTTCCCACCTCCCCACACCCACTCCCACCCCTGAAGGCCCTTCCCACCTCCCCACACCCACTCCCACCCCTGAAGGCCCTTCCCACCTCCCCACACCCACTCCCACCCCTGAAGGCCCTTCCCACCTCCCCACACCCACTCCCACCCCTGAAGGCCCTTCCCACCTCCCCACACCCACTCCCACCCCTGAAGGCCCTTCCCACCTCCCCACACCCACTCCCACCCCTGAAGGCCCTTCCCACCTCCCCACACCCACTCCCACCCCTGAAGGCCCTTCCCACCTCCCCACAGCCCTGAGGGCCCTTCCCACACCCGACACCTCTGACGGCCCTTCCCACCTCCCCACACCTCCCTCACCCCCAAAGGCCCTTCCCACCTCCCGCCACCCCTGAAGGCCCTTCCCACCTCCCCACACCTCCCCCACCCCCAAAGGCCCTTCCCACCTCCCGCCACCCCTGAAGGCCCTTCCCACCTCCCCACACCTCCCCCACCCCCAAAGGCCCTTCCCACCTCCCCCCACCCCTGAAGGCCCTTCCCACCTCCCCACACCTCCCCCACCCCTGAGGGCCCTTCCCACCTCCCCACAGCCCTGAGGGCCCTTCCCACCTCCCCACAGCCCTGAGGGCCCTTCCCACCTCCCCCCACCCCTGAAGGCCCTTCCCACCTCTCCACACCTCCCCCACCCCTGAGGGCCCTTCCCACCCCCCTACACCTCCCCCACGGCCCTTCCCACCTCCCTACATCCCCTGACGGCCTTTCGGACCCCACACCTCACCACCACACAGACCAGGGACGCCCGTCGCCCGTGAGCACCCACCCTGTGGCTGCCACGGCAAGAGCCTGGAGGTGCCCATGGAAGACGTCCCCAGCTTCAGGACCATCCTTTGGACGGACCATTCCAGAGAAGGACGAAGCCTGTGAGCTCAGTCACACTTGTTCCGGATGGATTCAAGGGACACAAAAAGCGGAAGCAAGTCCACGGATGAGGGAGGCACCCGGCCCGGCCCGCCACGGAGGAGGACCCCACCATGAACAGGAGCCAGGCTCCGACTCCCGCCACCGTGTGGGTGCCCCGGGAGGACGCCAGCACAGCGTGTGAATGTTTAGGACGGGCCGATGCACAGGGACAGGAAGGGGTGCGTGGGTGCCGGGGCAGGGTGTTATGGGGTGTGGGGGGAATGGATAAAAGGTACCCACAAAAGTTAACGTTCCACACTGGTCTCTGGCTGGCCCAGGCTGGAGCGCAGTGACTCGATCTCCGCTCACTGCAACCTCCTCCTCCCAGGTTCCAGCGATTTGCCCACCTCTGCGTCCCAAGTAACTGGGATTACAGGTTCCCACCACCACCCTCAGTTAACCTTTTTTTCTTTTGTTTGAGGCGGAGTCTCGCTCTTGTTACCCAGGCTGGAGTGCAATGGCGCCATCTCGGCTCACCGCAACCTCCGCCTCCTGGGTTCAGGCAATTCTCCTGCCTCAGCCTCCCAAGTAGCTGGGATTACAGGCACGCGCCACCGTGCCCAGCTAATTTTTTGTATTTTTAGTAGAGACGGGATTTCACCATGTTGACCAGGATGGTCTCGATCTCTTGACCTCGTGATCCACCCGCCTCGGCCTCCCAAAGCGCTGGGATTACAGGCGTGAGCCACCGTGCCCAGCCATTTTTTTTGTATTTTTAGTAGAGCCGGGGTTTCACCTTGTTGGCCAGGCTGGTCTTGAACTCCTGACCTCAGGTGATCCACCCACTTCGACCTCCCAAAGTGCTGGGATTACAGGTGTGAGCGGCCGCGCCCAGCCACAGTTTTTTCTTTTTGTTTTGTTTTTTGGGTTTTTTTTGCACACAGTCTCTGTCGCCCAGGCTGGAGTGCAATGGCACGATCTCAGCTCCCTGCTGCCTCCGCCTCCAGGGTTTAAGTAATTCTCCTGCCTCAGCCTCCTGAGTAGCTGGGACGACAGGCTCCAACCACCACGCCCAGCTAATTTTCTGTACGCTTAGTAGAGACGAGGTGTCGCCATGTTGCCCAGGTAGGTCTCAAACTCCTGACCTCAGGTCATCTACCCGCCTCAGCCTCTCAAAGTGCTGGGATTACAGGTGTGAACCACCTCACCAGCCACAGTTTTATTTGGTTTGGTTTTTAGGCAGGGTCTCACTCTGTCACCCAGGCTGGCTTGCAAAGTTGAAATCATAGCTCACTGCAGCCTCGACCTCCCAGGCTCAGGGGATCCTCCTAACTCAGCCTTCCAGGTAGCCGGGACCACAGGTGCACACCAGCATGCTTGGCTACTCTCCTTTTTTTTTTTTTTTTTTTTTTTGTATTTTTTGCAGCGATGGGGTCTCTCTTATATTGTCTAGACT